ACCCGCATGGGTCTGGCAACCTTTCTCATTTCCACTTTCCAATTGATCATTAAAGATGTAGGAAATTTCTCCTCTATATGGAATTATACGTACGATTACTATGCAGCACGTGTGCACGCCTGCAATGCACATCTAACAATATGTTACAACGTTTCTTTAGGGACCAGACACCATATGCAGATATTAATTTCCATTATGTGTCTCGCTCGTGAATCTTACTTCTGTGATAATACACATGTTCAAGGAGAATCAAAGAAACGATTTTATATTATTACGTTTCAATGGATCTGTTAGATAGTTTAGGATAAATATAAGCAGCCTGGCTATTCGAAAATGAAACGGTGGCGATTTTTCGTCGCGAGACGCTCAGAAGTTTGCCCAACGAGCTGCCCAATCCGTCTAGAAGCGACTGTATTTGACGTAACTCGGGACAAAGTGCCCGCATTTTAGTAAGCATCGTTGCATACGATCCCGTATGCGATGCACGTACCGCCACGCTCGTTTCTGCATTCGTCGTCGTAAAAAAGTCCACGGCGAGCGTGATGCGTTCGTATCCCAAATTCCAACGGAACCCTTGAACCGATACGAATAATGAAAAAAAAAAAGAGGGAAAAAAATGTAGGCGCGTTTTGTTTATTGCTCGTCTCGACAAGTTCATTCGACGGTGACGGCGACCATGACGTCTCGTATTGACAAACGATGACAGCAGCGCACGATTGTGCGATCATTTCAACTCCGTACGATGTTGTACGCTATTTCACCGTGCACTTCGACTTTCGGCTATTTATCTTCTCGGCCCGAACTCGTTCGTAAACGTCACGGGAAATTGATCACGTTAGCCCGTTGGCTGGAAAATCGGTATGGCTCCGACGATACTGACTTCTTTTCGACCCCTGAGATGTGATTTTAGGCCACACACCAAACGTGAATTCTTCTTAATGTTAATTTAAAGCTGAAACATTCTCAAATTTTTTATGCAAGTAATGAAAAAATCATCGATAACACTAAACTGTATTTTTCATAGTGATATTCTGCTTGAGAGGGTGAAATGAACCCCTAAAATGTTTGCAATAGTTTGAAGAAGCATAGACTCTGCTGTCTATACCTAATCGTACCCCGTCGCTACGATAGATCCAACGGATCGAGGAAACTCCTCCGCCCATAAGCAATGTGATTTTAGGCCACACGCCAAACGTGAATTCTTCTTAATGTTAATTCAAAGCTGAAACATTCTCAAATTTTGTACGCAAGTAGTGAAAAAATCATCGATAACACGAAACTGTATTTTTCATGGTGATATTCGGCTTGAGAGGGTGAAATGAACCCCTAAAATGTTTGCAATAGTTTGAAGAAGCATAGACTCTGCTGTCTATACCTAATCGTACCCCGTCGCTACGATAGATCCAACGGATCGAGGAAACTCCTCCGCCCATAAGCAACCAACGAAAGGCTCCCATAAGGATTAACGGAGCCCCCGCGACGCCACGGGAAAAAACAAACTGGAGGGCAATTAAACGCGCCATTTAGCCGCGCGGAAGGGTTGAAAACAAGATGGGATTTTTATTAAGCCGCTATTGCGCTTAACGGCTGTAAAACGACGGCCCCTACCTCCGCCGTTCTCTCCCGTTGATCGCGGGGAACGCCATCCGGAACGACGTTGGCCCATTATGGCCCCGTCTCCGTCACGGCAGTCAAAAGTCGTAAAAATGGAGGGAAAAGCTTGGGCGGAAGACGTCGCGCTATCGGGTCACCGTCTTGTTTTCGCGTTTTACAAGGGTCCCGCGACTTTCGAGCCTCTTCGTTTCCGCACCCCACAACGGCCTCTCGGTTACAGGCTCCTTCGGTCCCTGAGGGACAATCACGGGACGCCTCCCTTCTGGTGTCTCGTTGAACTACCTCGGTGACGAGCGTGCCGGAAAACTCACCGCAAGTAGCGATGGCTAGCGAAGGTATCGAGAATCTTCCAAAATCTGTCAAAGTTGCAATATTTTTAGTTGCAAAAGTTTCTATCGAATCATAGGTGATTTTGTAATTTTAATCCAAGAGTAAGTGTTATTTAGAATAATTTAGAAATTCCTAATGTAATGGTGTTGGATGTTTGCGTTTGATGATGGAATAAAAGTTTAAAGAACGATCGTTGCGAAAGCTACATTCACGTAATAAACACTCGTCATCTCGATCGATTTATTATTCAACGAGTTACAATAATTCGTCTAGGCACGATAAATTACGCAACGCGAGCCAACGAAGAGTACGACGTGAAAATATTCTGTTTTATGTGTGTCAAGGTATTTGGTTAAACATCATCCAAGGTTCGATTTAGATCCAACCGCATGTATAATTCATTTGGTTGCTCTCTAACTTTTAAACTAGCGAATAGGTGTAGTTCAACAATTTTTACTACGGTTAAATAAGACATTACATATGATAGGTATTAGCATTACAAGTGTTTTGTTTTATTATATCAGCTGTAGGTTTTTCTAAGGAAAAGGATTAGCTTTTCTAGATTAAACCGGCAGCTTCGAGCCTCGAAATTTCAATGTTTTCGAGTAGAGTTTGTCGCGCCCCGATCCCTTTCATAAAGCTTGTCCGGATCGCGACGTCCCCTTGAGAAATGAAATTACGGAGCTTGTTCAAGAAGGCTACTTCAAACACTGCCTCTGCTGCGAAACTTTAAAGGGTCGTAACTCGGAAAACTAGCAGTTAGGGATCTGTGTCCGTATCGTGCCTTTTCCTCGATGCGATTGGCAGAATGGGGTTACATAGTTTGCTCAAATATTTTTCAATAACACTCAAAGAGAAGTGTTCTTACGAGATGCAGTAAAATTCCGATTATCCGGCATACTCGAGACCGAGGCAATGCAGAAAAATGGAAAAATTAGACCACCTTAGGGGGGTAAATAGGTTAAACCTATTGAATTTTTTTCACGAAACTGCGTAGGATTTTGAGGGTATGTCTATTCACCAAAATTGATTAGGATTGTCCCCCGCAGCTGAAAATAATTTTTCCAGAATGATTTGAAATATTTCAATATTCAGGGTAACAGACAGTTATGGTCAGACATTATATTTCCAGTAATGAATTTTTTTCTGGAAAGAGAGTAGGATTTTGGGGGTATGTCTATTGACCAAAAATGATTAGGATTGTCCCCCACGGCTGAAAATAATTTTTTCCGAACGATTTGAAAATTTTTAATTTCAATTTTCTTCTAAAAAACATCGATTTTTCTTTAAACTCGAATAAGAAACGACGTGGTGTACGAGACTTAATACATTCGCTTTAAAACATTTTTTAACATGAAATCTGGCTCAACGAGCACCGTTGCAGCGCCCGTAAGTTCATTACAGGCGCGGAGTTTGGGAACCTCTGATCCAACCGATGATCGGCGTTCGGAGAAAAACGCATTTGCATCGTCCCGCCAGGCCTCCCCCTCCCGCCCACGCGTTCTAGACGGGTCGCGTTGGCGCGAAATCGCGACGATTGAAATTTCGATACGGCGGTGGATGCGTCGGGGGGGACCGATTCCCTGGTTAACAAAAGGTTAATGACCGTGACTGGACCGTTGGAGGGAGAACGGGTTTCGAATAATGCGGATTACGGGCTCCCATTGGTCAGCGTTTAATGTTTAAATGTAAAACCGGAATCGGGGGGCCGTCCGTGGGGCGTGGTTAATGTTACGTCGACATTCACCCAGATACATTCGCTGGCGTGTCAGCAAACATAGGCATGATAGCGTTTGAATAATGTATGCCGCCGAAGCGATAGCCGCTTTTGCCGCGCGTTTGCTCTCCGCTTGTACCGACGCGGACGCGTCGCCACGCCTCTCGTCCCTGCCACTCCGTTCCGCGTCAAATCGCGCGTCGTTCGATACCGGTGCCCCCGTGGAACTTTCTTTCAAAAACACACGGTATTTATCGACGATCGTAAAAATAAAATACCGACGAACGTCGCGGTACCGGAAGCGGTTCAAGCGTTCCCCCATAAACGAATCTCACGGCAGCACGGAACACGGTATAAACGCGTGAACGCAATTTTGATATTTGTCATTTGGGCGTTGGGATCTTAATAATCTACGTTTTAGTCCCAAAGCTGGAAAGAGAACCGACTTTCGTGTCGGTGGAACGTACGTTTGTAATCGATTAACCCACATGAACTTAGAACACGGGAATAAAAAGGAACAGTCAGCCCGGGGTGCTACGTACTCTGGGTCAATAGCTGTAACATGATTCTGGCGGAGCGGTTAATTCGTTGCTGGCATATCAAGTGCCCGGGAGTCCTTACAGAAGGATTACGCGAAACGAATATCTTAAGGTACCAACAAATATAATTGAATTTCGGGCAGAAGCTGAAGAAGCGTATTTCTATTCTGGCCACACGAACGGTAACATGCTTCGATTTGTCGTAAACGTGTAAAAGCATCGACCTCGACGTCGAAATACGAGGAATAGGGATGTCGCGAGTACTCGATGATCATCGATGATCTAGAAAATTTTATTTCAATCCTGGTTCCGAGTCTTCATCGCGTAAAGTTGATCCACATGTTTGGTGGAAGGAAAGATATAGGAAATATAACGATCGAAGAAATTTAGCGCAAAGGAAACTTGGAAAACATGGTTTGGCATGAGACACCAAAGAATTAAGATATTTTCAGCAATGATTATATCATTTTTGCGATCAACCACAACCGTCGATCTCAAAATCCAATGTTGAAATTAAAGCTCGCGTCCCTTTCGTTCGACAGAGATGGTCAAAACGTTTAATTCGAATTATTTACGAATGAAATTTTTGTTTCTATTCAACGAACGATGGATCGAGGGATTATCCTTTGCCCGTTACTCGAGAATTGCGCCCGGGGAAGAACTTTTGCCCATGTCTGACGTTCGATCTGGTAGGAAAAGCGTTCCTGACATGATCGAGTCAACGTCCAAAAATTAGATTTATCCGAATCGCCGGACGTCTGCTCACGTCTAACCTTCTGCGTCCCCGTTCTCTGTTACAGCATCCTCGAGATGCGCAAGGAGAAGAGCAGAGACGCCGCCAGGTGTCGAAGAGGGAAGGAGAACTTCGAGTTCTACGAGTTAGCGAAAATGCTGCCATTACCGGCGGCCATTACCTCCCAGTTGGACAAAGCCTCCATAATAAGGCTAACCATCTCGTACCTCAAACTTCGGGAATTCTCGGGCCACGGAGACCCGCCATGGAATCGGGACGATCCGCCGCCGAATAAATCTGTCAAAGGTAGAGTTCCATCGTCCATTTACACGCGTTTTCCTATCAACTACCCACACTGTGCTCGTTTGGCAATTTACAATCAATCTTCGCTGTTTTGGGATTTGCAAAAGATGATCTCTCTTAAGTGACTTTCTTTTAAACATTTGATGCGTGCATCCCCTCGTCCCACGTTCGATTAAATACGAACTGTTCAGCGAACAAGAAACCGTTCACTGCCCCCCCCAAAAAAAAAGATATTTTCCCAGCTCGCGTTCTTGCGACGTGGAAACAACACAGATGATTGGACCCCTTCTTATTAGAAAGTGTATCTGCCGGTGATATCTCCTGATGGATCAGTATTTAACCCCCGGTAGGGGAGTCGATTCGCCGTTGAAGATCGACGACCGTGCTACTCGCGCAGCGGAACGTGTCTTCGGGGGCCGAAACAACAGGGAAGACCAAGTTTATTGCAAAACGAAGCCGCAAATAGCACCGTGCCAGTATGCATTCAAATCTCGTGCATTTTGGCGGAACACTCTGGAGAAATTCGTGGAAAATCCGGAACGAACACTGCATCGTACATTGAATTGTCTACGTTGGATTTAATACAAACGATGGAAATAAACAAGTTAAAAAAGATCGGCAATCTGTAAAACATCGAACCGAAAGAGCAGTGATTTTCTTAGCTTCGTTTAGTTTCTCTTGACACAAGAAACGAAACGCCTTTAATCAGCCCTATCGTTAATTCATCGATGGGGGGGGAAGCGGACACTGAATTTCGATGGAAATTCACGGTACACCGGTATCGAATTAACTGGACAATGGTTGTTCGCTAACGTTCTCAAGAATTCGCGTAAGCAAGCCGGCGATAGATCGAGCCTCGCGATACCCTTTATAACTCGAGTGACCGCTCGCAGCCGGCAAGAGATTCCCAGATACATAGTAATAGAGAATTGTCCGCTATAATCGTGCGATACCATCGCCATTGGCTTTCTTCATTTTCGTGGTTCATTTAACGAAAATGGGTGACGGCGTTTCCACCGAACGGGGGACATTGAAATGCTAACAGCTTCGTTTATCCTTACGGGGCCTCGAAAACTCGAGACGAACGGATCAGATATTAGCGATCGAATCGAACGAAAGTCTTCCCGTTTTCTTATTTTTACTTTTCGTTGCGGATCGATCTTCACTATTTTCGAATTTGCTTTCCTTTCCTTGTGGAAATGATCTCTGTTAACTGCACTTTCCAAACATGGTAAAGGCAGTCGCTGTTGCAAAATCTTTTAGTGGTATCGCGTGTCCCACATTCCCCGTCGCTGTTATTCTTCGGGCAATTCTTCGAGATTAACAATTCCGGTACTGATTGGTACACCGCCGTCTGACATTCGTTTTTTAAATGAACCCGAGGAACGTTCGCGTATTCTACGTAACGTTCTCTTGTCTGGCAGACGTCTATTGGGGGAAACGGCTCGCATACAGACGCGTCGCTTCGACCCAACTGCACTGGGCAAGTCCGTACATCGATTGCATGCCCGCCATTTCCTGGTACACTTTATTCCGTGTTTCTTCTATTCGACCGGCAAATTAATTGCCAAGTGGTTCTCGTGAAATAGTCAACAGGGTCAAGAGATAGGATAGAATTCAGTTGCACTGAATTCGGGGCTATAAAACATTCGATTGAATAAAATTTATTAAAAAAATTATTCCAGATAGATATTTACTCGAATCCCGAACTCTGATGGAGACCACGGTTATCAAGATTCTTATTTTCTAAACAATTTTGAAACACCCTGTAAGTTTGAAGCGACGGGATTCCAGCGTGGAATCGATTGATTTCGGACGAATTTTCAGGGATTTGGAAGCCCCGTGCACCGCGACTCGAGGGAAAATAAGGCGGTTGAGAGAATTCACTTATTCATCGGCACTACTTTCGGAATCGAGGGGGTTGGTTGAGTTAATATTTGTCGTGGCGCGGAAGGGTGGTGGTGAAGAGACGGGCGAGGGGGAGGGACTCGATGCGTACATAGAAAGCGGCACACATAAAGGCTTAGGTTGGCTGCAGTGCCGCTACCTACATGGAAATCTAATCACGGCAACCCCTGCGCGGGCCTCGCGTTACCAACCGCCAATGTAACTAAACTAACGAAATCGAGTTAGGCACCGTCCGCACATCGCTGCCACAGCTCCTCGTCAAACTAAATCCAGTGCGCCGGGTTCACCCTCGCCGCATGTCAGTACCACAACCGGAACGAGAGGCCTCTCGACTTAACGAAGTAAAATGCGTTAAAGATTTCCAGACACGTCGGTTGATTTATTTTCTTCGCGGGTCCTACGGTGCTCCGGAGGAATCGACGTCTTATTTTTTATCCCTCGTCACTTTTATTATAGAAACGAAAAGAGGAGAATAGGTATTCGTAAACTTTACACAGTTTCACCAGCGAGCAAACGTACCAGTATCAATTTTATCAATTCACAGAAGTGATAGGAAGCATAGGAAAATCATTTTTGTGACGATTAAACGACAAGCACGACGTAGACGATTATACAGAAATAAGAGAGGATCTTTGAATGGTAATTTCACTTAGTAACTCGTTCCGGGGCGGTCGTTTCTACCAAAGTCACATGAAAATTGGCAAAGCAACCGGAATTGCCGGAGTAGCTTCCAAACAGCGAGTCCTTAGGACCGCCAGATCGCGCAGAGTGGCTCACGTAATTTTAAATTGATTTTTTTGTATCCCCTATCGCGATTCTCCTCCGCGATATTCCATTTCGTGTTCTCGCAAATTTCTCGAATAAGGTGCAATCATGAAATTGGGGATAGAAACGAAGAGAATAGAAGGCAGAGAAGCTATTTTCTCAAAGAAAACACATATTCACGACCGTTTTCGAAAAGAGAAACACAACTACGGGGCTCTGTCTCGTCGAGGAGTCGCATTAGCACGTTCGATCTTCGCTAAATTGATCGCGGCAAGAGGGTAGATATTTTTCCACCTTCCCCAAGGAAACATCCGCGAGCTACGGACGTGGACAACGGACTAAACCTTCCCCTTGGTTATTTATCAAAATATCGTGATGTCCAACGTTTGGAGAATTCTACCAATTCCCGTCGAACCAAAAATTAGTTAATTCGGACACTCTTTATTTCATATTAATTCTGTCAAATATCCTGGGAGTTTGTGGCACAGTTTGAACAGAATCTCTGTTAATTTTCGTAACAAAATCTTAATCCATACAAGAAGATATCAGCTGTAGGGGTAGTAAAGGTTCTCAAACTAATTTCATTCCTAATAAAAGTGAAAATATTGTACACAACTGTATCAAGTCGTCAGCCATGTATATACTTATTTGCAAGTACAATATTTTATTTTATTCACCCAATAAACAATGCACCACCAGTGAATCGGAGAACGAGTCTCTGATCGTGTAACTCCCGATAGGACCCCAAAAGGAATTTCGCGTTTTGAGAAAACAGTTAGGAAAGAAGTGGGGGGAGGTCGATTGGTAAAAGTTTAATCGGTATTCATGGATGGTGCTCGAACGAAACAAAACGAACGCGTCGAGGAGGAAACGCGCGTCGGTCGGGCGAAAGTCCGACACGGATTATTCGGGGATCCGGGTCCGAGAGGCCGAAATATCAGAATTAACTTGTTGACCGAATAGCGAAAGGTAGGGTCATCAATCCGACGAGTTAGCCCCGGCACTTCGGCTCGTTTCTCCGTGGGGTTTACCGGATTAAGCGGTTCGCGTCGAGTTTGATCGAGTCTTCTAAGTCTTTCATTACCGGGGACCGACCGGAGGGTGGGTTTATTATTACGGTAAGAAGGAGGCCGTCTTGTTTGTTAAACGAGGGGAGAAAAAAGACGCGAAGGGGTCACCGGGGGGCACAGGAGGCTATCCGAACGCAGGCGTGACTCACGTTGTTCGGAATAAGCTAAAGGTAGCCCCCCCCTGATTCTAGCCACCGCGTCTTTATTAACTCTTTGCTGACCAGTAGGCTTGGATTTCGCTGCAAGGGATGTCCCAAAACAGTATCGATCACTGGAACAGTATTGGCTACTTATACGTTGCTAGTACAATGCACTACAACTTTTTTGAAAAGTTTCTATAAGTGAATAAATAAACACTTATCTCCACTGTCGTTTGAATTTCTTTGATAGAAATAAGCAGTTTCCTGAAACTAGCCTTTGAACGAAAAATGTATATTCGTTGCAGAATTGATTCTAATACACAGATACATCTGATTCCAGGTGCGAATCGAGTGAGGTCGTCAGCAACCGATGCGGTGGACCACTTTGAAGTACACCAAGGCACCCATATACTTCAAGTGAGTACACAATTGGAACTCCAATTATGTTGATAACAGGCTCACGTTGCGATTCCCTTTTTATAATAATTTTCATCTTGATTTAAAGTTGAGATCATAGAATTATGTATCATACGTCGTAAGAAACGTTCGATGGGAAAAAGTAACAGGAAAAAAATAAAATTCTAGACAGAGAACATTACGTACGAATTTCGACCGCTGTTTATTACGTAACATAATAAGTTTACTTCGTACGCAAGGAAGGTGCAATTCATAGTTTCGGTATGAAGACGCGGAAGCCGCGAATGATGCATTCGACGCGCGTGTGACGCATAGTGTATACCAAACATGCTCCGACGCCTGAAACCGCAACATTCCGCAACCAGTTTTTCTTTGCTGCTAGTCAGTACGGTTCGAACTTCAAATCGAGATCAAAATCACCGCGGAAATACACAGGAATCGTGACTCTTATATTTATCTCATTCCAAGCTCCTTTAGATATTAAAATAATTAATTTACACCACGCTGCAAGGATAATCTTAGACTTTCCAACGATCTTTCCCCGATAAACCTAGCAAAACGTTGACGCGAGAATATACCAATCACGTTCCCTGACACGGAAACGCCACTAAGCGTGGAAATAATTTAGAAAGGGCGAGATTGTGGCGAGGTTTTTAGGGTTTCGAGCCACCGTACGACGGTCGGGAGTTAAAAAGAGAACCCCCGTTGGTCCGTAGAACGATTGCTACCATATTTTCCGTTTCAGTCGCTGGACGGGTTCGCGATGGCGGTCGCTGCTGATGGACGGTTCCTGTACATATCCGAGACCGTCTCAATTTACCTTGGACTCTCACAGGTGAGTGTGCAGCCGGGCTGGCCTCCCCCTCCGGCCGGGGGCGTCGTTGGGAGCGTGACTCGTTCGCGGGGATGTTGATGGAAGGTCGGGGGCCAGAGGGGGAGGGAGCAACGGGGAGTCGAGATAGGTGTGGTGCGCGGGGGAGGATGAAATGAAGCGGAAGACGTATAAGACACAGGCGTGCACGCGAGGCAGGCACGTATGCGAGCCGGAAGGGCAAAGATAGCGGGCGAGAGGGAACCACGGCCGTGGAAAAAGGAGAAGAGCCCGACGAAGAAGGGCGGAGGCGGCGGAGGTGGCCTCCGTCGGGCGAGAACGAAGAGGAAGGGAAGAAAAGGGAAGGCGAAAGGAGAAGGGAAAAAAGAAGCGTGGCCGGGATAGAGGCGGATAAGGACGACAGAGAGAGAGAGAGAGAGAGAGGGGGAGAGAGAGAGGTCAAGGGAGGAAAAGAGGAGAAGGTTGTATGAGTTGGCGGCCATACTGGCTGGCACCAAGCATGACATAGACGAGGGAAGGATGGGTGGTTGGGGGCGGGGGTGGTCGCATGCGGCTCACGTAGCCTCTGCACGGCGGCGTGTTCGCCATTCCTAATGCTGCCCGTGAAGGTAGATGGAGAAAAGAGAGAGAGCGGGAGGGGAGGAACGGGGAACAGAGGGGAACAGAGAGAAACAGAGAGGGAGAGAGAGAGAGAGAGACGCGATAGCGGGAGGAAGGTGTACGGGAGGTGACCGGTGTACCAGCTCGGTTCTGCGAGACTCGTGGAGCAATCAATAGGGTGTTTCGGGGATTCGGGAAACCGGCGCCGACGTTGCCACAAACATGGCTGACGGCAGCCCCTGGCGTTCCAAAGGTGTTTCTCGTCGAAGCCTTACCCGATATGGAAATCGAGACGTTTTAACCTGAACGGAAAAGACACTCTTCCGAGTCCTTCCGGCCCTGTTGTCCGTGTCCCCGCGAACTGCCCCGGGAACCATTTTGCGCCCGTTAGCGATCCGTAATTGCTTGCTTTTTAATACCGCGCGGCTTAGGACGCGGTACGGTTTTATTATTCCGCGGGCAAGTTCGATTGAAATTAAAGTTTCAGCGCCGATGAAATTGACTTTCGTCGGAATTAAGAGTTTTCCCTCTCCCCCCCTCCCGGAGGAAACCGTGGCCCCTCGAAGCTGGGTAATCTACTTCGCGGGATTTACATACTTTGTCTTTGAGACGATCGCCCGGACTCCGGGATTAAAGAACAAATCGACGCGTAGAAATTTGCTTTACTGTTTTCGACGCGATTGGAAGCTTCGTTTAATTATCAGTGGGCGTTTCCTGTAAACGAAGAGTTCGCCATTGCGTTGAATACTATGGAGAAGAGTATTTATGGATACATATTTTTCAAACATTCATAAATACGATTCTTCGTCTCACAATCATTAAAAGAAAAAGAATTGCTCTTAATTAATGATAGGATAAGAAGAAGTAAATGCAAAGTAAACATCATTATATTCAGATATGAGGCATGAGAAATGTATATTTTTAAATACTTGTATCATTTTCGACAGAAAACAATTGCGTTCGTTCAATTATCGTCAAAGAAATGTGCACAAGTTTTCGTTTGTTAGTTCGATACGCGTTTATGATGTACGAATGTCAGACAAATATGTTAAAATTCACGCGTAGTTCATTCTATACGGAAAAGGGCAGGTAAGAAAAAGGTTCCAGCAAAGAACTTCTTTCTATTCAACCCTACTGGGAGATGTTAAACAACCATAAAAGCACCCGCTACGTGTCGAACTCGGTATCTGGGACATTTCACTTGCTTCCTTTGGAAAATCTTTTCTGAAATGCACTTCCAACGTTAACGTTATTGTAAATAACGAATCACAGAATGCATCAAGAATCAGTTCCTTAATTTTTGAAAGAAAAACAGACCGCAGAATGGTCCCTCGGGAATAGCCAGCGTGAAAATGGCGTTCGACGTTCTCGACAGACGTTAGTGCGAGGAATAGAGGGACATTTTCGCTTGGATTGCAGGTAGAGATGACGGGATCAAGCGTTTTCGATTACGTCCATCAACAAGACCACGCGGAAGTCGCAGAGCAATTAGGCCTCGGATTGGCCTCGAGTAGTTCTTCCGGTCCACACTCGTCGAGCTCCGGATTAGCGTCGCCGAGTAGTGCGGCGTCCGAAGAACACGGTTCGTCTTCCACGGCGAATCCCGACGGTAAGTCGTCGATCACTGTGCGGGAGAATCCAAAAAAGTCACGAAACATCGTTAAATCACATTTTTGTTTCCAAGATACCGTACGATATTAAATCGTAAAAGTTGAATCATTCGTTTACAGTGTCATCAGTGATGGCATTATCATCGAGCGGTCTTTATAAAGGATACGATCGAGCGTTCTGCGTGAGGATGAAATCCTCGTTGGCGAAAAGGGGTTGCCATTTTAAGTCTTCTGGTTATAGGGTGGGTATCTCAATTTTCGCATTTAATTCGGAAACTGTAACTTTTTAGCATCCTCCTTTCCTCCACCATTTTTAATCCCCTTACCTTACTGTTATTCGATTAAATTCTAAAGTCAAACTGTTACTTTTAATGTTTAATCGACAAGAGTGTGGGCGTTAATCGACCGTTATAAATTCAGGTCGTACTGTTACTGTGCCGTTTGAGACCACAGTATACGTTTAGCCATACAAGAAAGTCTGCGCCACCTTTGATGGGCATGGTCGGCTTAGCGATCGCACTTCCTCCGCCAAATGTGCACGAAATTCGTCTTGAAACCGACATGTTCGTCACCCGAATTAACTTCGACTTTCGGATAGCACATTGCGAACCAAAGTGAGTTAAATCGTTTTTTTTTTTTATTTCTAACGATTTAGCGCACCTTCGTAAAATTGTTTCTTCGCGTTTGCTTACAGAGTATCCGAATTATTAGACTATACAGCCGACGAATTAACGGGGAAAAATCTTTATACGTTGTGCCATGGAGAAGACGCGAACCGTCTTCGGAAGTCACATATTGACTGTGAGTATTCAACGCAACAAATCCCTCGTTTGTCGCGTAACTTTTATAGAGGAACGTGTATTGTTTCAGTGATTCATAAGGGGCAAGTGTTGACGCATTACTATAGGTTGATGAACAAAAGCGGGGGATACACGTGGCTGCAAACTTGCGCGACCGTCGTGTGCAACTCGAAAAACGCCGAGGAGCAAAATATCATTTGTGTCAATTACGTCATAAGGTAAAGTACAAAGCTACCATCGACTAATAATATAAAAATAACAGAATATTCCTATATAACTATTGAATTTTATCAAATTAAAATACAGGATCTCGTATCTAAATGCTTTACATCGGCATCACACTTCGACAGAGTGTTATGCCTAGAATCAATCGCTCGTCGGGATAAAAGTCAATAACCGATATTTTCTATAAAATCGTGATTTATCATTTACATGCGTCCAGTGGTCGTGAGTACGAGAACTTAATAATGGACTGCTGCCAACTAGAAGACGGTGTAATGGGTGTCAAACGCGAGGACGCCGCTGGAAATGATCCAGAAAATGGATCACCCGATGCCGACAAAGGAGGTACTGTGTCATGAAATAATCAACATTTATAGAAAACTCTATGTAGGGTAATTCACAACCTTATGACAGCAATTTCCAGGGCGTGTAGGAAATCGTTCCAAGTCAAAAATTGATTGTAAATTAATAGAATTCTTAAAAGCTGCTCTACAGTGACGTACTAACTTAGTGGTTACCAGTTAGAATGACTTTTACTGCATGCTCGAAAAATACTTTCAATAAGGTTGTAAGTCATCCTGTGTACGTTCGTGAACTTCATTAAATGGAATAAAGCGTTTGTAAAATAATCGTCCTGATCGTAAATGAGAACATCTGACCTGGTGAAAATTGTTTTATGACTACGATGCAAAACACGTATAATATAGGGTGAGCCACGAAAAGCAGGACACCTAAATATATCTCTTCTTGTTTGGAAAGAACAACATGACACACGTATATAAAATCAGATCGTTCTTTTTCTATCGGTTATTAACACATCGACGAACTGATACGCTATCTCGATTATTCAATGCCTTTAACAGATCGTACGTGCCCGTAATATGTTGACAGTTATATTTGTGTATATTTAGAGATCTGATAACGGGCACGTACATGCAATCTAATCTCTTGAGACTAAATTTCGCAACGGTAACGTTGATCAAAGATTTCCAAGTCCAAAATCGTTGACTATTTTCATTACTAAAAATAAAAATATATAACCCTGTTTATTAGTAAGTAATGTGAACGTCCCTACTAAGCATCGTCGAAAGCAACGGAGATATTGAAGGTGTTCAAGTTAAGTGGGATACCCTGGATTCTCCGTGCTCAGGGTCATTTTAAAAATCATGTTGTCATAAATAGCCCATTGTATTTGTAAGGAAATATCGATTAGATTGAGAAAAATTGTTATAACATTTGCCCCTTCCAAACAAATGATGATTTTTACTAGGACATTTTTTCCTGTCTTCAATCCTAACAGGAACATTTAGGTGTCCTGCTTCTCGTGGCTCGCCCTCTGTAGTATCTACCGCAAAAGGGAACGAGCGTAGCGCGTCGTATTCCATTGTTGCCCAGGGCGCCAAAGACGGACCAGTCAGATGCGATAATTTATCATTAAAAAGTACTAATGCAGCCAATTCATCTTCGTCCCAAACGCAAACGTTTTCTACTAAATACCGACTGTTCTGCGCCGCGTTTCAGAAGGTAGACGCCGCGGCGGACCGTCTAATCAGCATCAGGAACATTCGCACAGGTCCCCGCCGGAGAATCGCGAGGACACACGCGGCTCCGAGAGCGAGAAACGCAGCAACACGCACCACGACACCATGGCGCAGCTGCAGCAGGAGCCCCAGGCCACCGTGGGTAACATCAGCACCCTCGTGGTGAAGCTGCGCGGTCACAAGCGGAAAATCCAAGAGGACGACAGCAGCTCGAACGAGGACGAGGAGGACGAGGAGGACGCCGCGTCGACGAAGGTAGCGAGCAACGAGAGGAGCCACGCTCTCAGTCCAGCCCCGTCGAACCATTCGATCTCGGCCGGCGAGCAAGCGCTATGCTCGACCAGCCCGAAGTCGAGACGCGTGGAGGACAGGACGACCAACGCCGACAGCACGGGCACCTCGGTCAAGGATCTGGAGCAAGCGATGTCGAAGCATCTGCCGGTGGCTAGTCTGAACAAATCTCACTCCCCCACGTTGCACCAGCCCACGGACTTCAGCACGGACGCGCTGTTGAAGCAACAGCAACAGAGGAGCACGATACAGTGGATCGGAGCGCATCATCATCTGGGACACCTGAGTCCTCAGCAGTCGAGCACCGCGCCCTTGCCAGCATCCGCGCTCCTGCGGCAGCTGTACGCAAACAGGGAGAGCGTGATACGCGCCAACGTCCACGGAATAACCTCCAGCAGCAGCACACGTACCCCGTCCTCCGGTGGCACTTACTATACAGGGGACACCGCGCCCAGCGGACCTCTGCCTACTCCCCCGGGCTCCGAGGGTTCCAGCACCTACGGTGAGCATCAGTTTGTGTTGGCCACGCATAACCAGAAAGGCACCACCGGGACCAGTTGCGCCGACGCGTTCACGAGCCTGGTCTCCTCGTACACCACCGCTGGCGGTTACACGGTCGATTACCATTCGGCGATGACGCCGCCGTCGTCGGTATCGCCGCGCGACAAGCAACAGCAGCAGCAGCAACAGCAACAACTGCACCCGGTGAACGTGATTAGCAATTACGAGGGCTCGTCGGCCTACGCCGATCCCGTGCTACGACATCAGTACGAGCCGGCGCAACCGTTGCCTTTGAAACCACAAGTGTATTCAGCCGCGGTTCATCCGAGCGCGTTGGACGCCGCCGCGGCGTACGCGTCCGCCGGGCTCACCGAGCAGACGCAATTCTATCATCATCCGGCGGCCGGCGCCGGTTTTCACATCTACCATCCGACTAACAAGTCAACGACGAACGGCTGGTACAGTTCGACGTCCTAGTGGCGTGGTCCCGTGCGCGAGACACGTGTACTTAAGTAACTGAAATCGAGCCCAAAGTCCCCCTACATGCATATCAGTGATATCGTATTCACCTCGACGTCTCTGTACCGATCCTTGTCCTCTTTCTTCCCGTCTACTACGTTTCGTTTTCTACGTTATTTTTATTTTTTATTTTTTTTTTTTCTTTACTCGTTGGGAGGAAGTCGCGACCTGGATCGTCGCTTCCCGGCTCACGTGGATGAGGATACGCAGCTCTTGGAACGTTACCTGCTGATGGTAAATCGTTTACAGTGTTAATGTCTTTGATGATTTCAGTGTCTTTCAGATCCAAAGAAGTTGCTTGTCTTTTGGAGGCCCCTACACCTGTCCAGAGACATAGTTACCTTGGGGTTGTTCTAGTATAGATTCTGTCTGTAACGCGTTACGATTTCTCATATCATCTCGTACTAAAAATCGTAATGGCAGTCGTATCAAATTTCTATGCCAGGGGCCCATGAGTGGGAGGATGCACCGGGTACACCATACCTGAAATTTTAGAAAAAAACGAGTTAACGCGTCGTTGTTCTCACCTACAATTCCTGATACGTTTGTTCTTTTTATTGCTTATTTATTCACCCAGAGATCCCTATCTTTACTTAAAATAAATGATTATCATTGTTATTAAACATTATTCAATAATGGATTTGGAATATAAGCGATCTTCGATCAAATCAAGATTACTTGCATCTTATTATATAAATATCCAATTTGTCCAAACAATAACATATCTTATCAGAGTCGCGAACCGCACGAACTGAGAGATTAATATGAAATGTGGTAGTGGAGATAATAAAAATACGATACGAAGACCAGACACTGCTAACTGATGCTGACAATATTATTTCTGTATCGTTGTTAAACGATATTTCCATTTATTATTATTCGAGGATGAACAAAATTATATTTACTTGCAATTTTAAAGAAGCATACTTACTTTTTAAAAAATGAAAAGACATTTTAACTCCGTGCAGGAATGTTGACTTCGATGCAAACGTTTCCCATTGGCGGTCGATGTTCAAAGATTTGTTTACACTGATCGACCCCTACATTTTAAGCTCGGTGCCATTAAAAAAAACGCCTCGTCGAGGTCGTGACGTCCACCTATTAGACTGTAAGTTCCGTTTCTTTCCTCGCCCAGCTCTCCTCGACCTTGTTCCCCGTTTCTTCTTCCCTCTTCGTTTCGTTCTCAATCGGAACCGGCGATCGTACGCGCGCACCCCGACACGCCAACCGAACTGTAAAAATCGCTGCTCTCTATCTCGACTATGTAGAACGACTTATTGTAATATAACAAAATAAATTATTATGTATGTTGACATTTCGGAGATATTCGCGTGAGCGTGGAGAGATTAGGTGTTTTACCCGAATACCGCCGTGCGTGTTCGAAAGGAAAGATAAAACGGAAGTACGTACGATGTGACGCTCAATGGATGACGGTGAAACGAGGATGACTATTTGTAGCTAGTTGCCGTCGCGCGGCATGAACAGGCACGCGGTAACGCCGCGACAAACGAAACAAAAAAAAAAAAAAGACATTTTAATCAGCGTTATTGGCTGAGTCTGCGTGGTTGTTTAGCGATAATTACTCGAGAAAGCCGTACTTGTCGTAATTTTTTATACTGTAACATTTTGTTGCGTAAAGACGGATGACTTTAGTGAAGTCGACAGTGCAATCGTTACGAGTTTTAGCGTTAATTTAAGAGGATCGAATTAGAAATAATAAAAAAAAAGTTTACCTTGCTTATACGAGAGAAAAAGTGGCGTTGTTTCTGTACGAGAGAGTATGTAAACATTATCGAAGGAAATCGCTATCTCTATTAATGTGGAAAAAAATGTTGTTCGGGATTGTTAACTTATTTGCCGGCTTTTATCATTGATCGTTTTCCGAGTCTCGGTATATCGTTTGTCGTCAATGGTTATACATATCAAGCATCTTCGTCTGGCAACAATATGGTATCCACTGCCTTACGGAATAAAATAATCCGCAATGATCGCGTTTCACTTTTTCTTTTACAGCGGATGCGTTCGTTTGTACGTAAACCATTCCTTTTCGTTGAATATATTCGATGAACGCGGACACAGTTTGCGAAAGACAGTTTAAAAAAAATAAAATACGAAAAATATATATTTGTATATGTATATATATAGATATTGCTAGAGGTAGCGAATTCTTTCAGAGAGATTATTATGTTTTGTTGTAAATTGATGAATTGTTTTTTGACGAGTACACGTGTAAATACGATTTATGTGCTGTAAGATCCACCTGTTGAATATTTCTATTCATAATTTTTCGGAAATTTCTACGAAGTTTATTTTCGTTGAAAGAACATTGTAAGGCAGTGACTTAAGCACTAAAATATATGCATAACATCTCCATCTTGATAAAAACGAAACTTTGTAATTCTTACAGTTCACCCTCGACAAGTTCATTAAAATCATATCCTCGATGAAATCTATTTTTCGATTAAACTTTGCTTTTTTTTATCGAGCGTTAATAATTATTGCAAAGATATTGCAGAAATTTTTTTTTTTTTTTTGTTCATATTCATGTTGTTAATTATTATTATTAGATAATTGGCAAAATTCATTTGATTTCCGGTGCTTTATGCGGATCCAATAGGTTGGAGCAATATCAAAAATTTCTATTAATAGAAATTGAAGTACTTAAAATTGGATGAAAATCAGCTTTTGCCAAATAACAGTGTTTTGTATATAAATACATTAATGCAACAAAAATTCTGCGCAAGAAATACTCTGCATAAGAAAAGTATTTATTAGAGTTACAGAAATTAAAAAAAAAAAAAAAATACAAATGCAGTGCATAAAAATATTTGCCTTACAAAATTGTTCTTGGAAAATATATAAAGAGATAAGTTCAGGTGTAAGGATTATAAGACTGATAATAAATCTGCTTGTCCTATTATATTGTTCATATTAAATTACATAGAAGTATCTTTAGATATTCACAATTCACTACTCTTTATTTTAAAATCCATAATGTAATTTGAAAATAAAAACGATACACCTGAATCTTTGTAAAAGTTATGAATTTTCACTTTCTTATTTCTAGTACTTTCTTGCTTCTATTCCTAAAACATTGAAATATAGAATCCATGGATCCTGTGATCTATGGTGACCGATAAAACAAAATCTTTTTTACATAACATGATAATCGTTTCCTTCTCAACATTAGAATCTATTATTGTCTGAAAGTGCAACTGAAATTTCATTAATTATCTTACCTCATCGATAATAAGGTAAACATTGTTTTATATACCAATGTGTTCGCTCGGTTTCCAAAAATTCTATAACATTGCCACTATTCGTTTCTTCGTTTCGTGTAACGGTAATGTTTAACCTAATTGCACCGTAATATACTTGAATACTTGAAATATCACGAATGTTAGGTTATGTGTTCCCACTGCTACACAGATATTTCTACTTCGAGCTCGAGTTCGTTGTTCGATGTTCGATGTTCGATATATTGACCTCGAGTCAGCAAGCTCAATCGTCATTGGAGCTTGTCATTTATTGTTTACGTGTGCGTTTCACAGATATGCGCCTATATAAAAGACGAGAAAACAAAATTCAAAAGTAAACCACAAGTGAACCAGTTAGAGACTGTTCGTCGTAGCGATTAAACATTTACCTTCAGAGCGAATGATCGTAGACACAAACCCAACCATGATTTGGCGAATTACTGTATTCGTCACTCTGTTGATTCTGACGATCGAAGCGAAAAAGCATTCGCAATATTGGGAGTCGCAAGAACAATGGCAAGAGTTCGAAGAATTTTTAAAGTGGAAGAAAATACGGGAGTTGCAAGAGCATCGCCCGCAAGAAATCAAACACGAGAAATGGCAACCTGAAAATTACGAAAAGAATCAACAAGTTCCGAGCGTTAACCCACCACCAGTCGATCAAGCTGCTCTAATGGCAAGATTCATCGTCAATCAGGCTGGTAAGAAAAATGCATTGATAAACATTGCTTGTAATTAGAATTATTATTGGGCATCGTGGTCAAATGGTTTAAACCGTTTAAAATTCCAGCCAGATTAGCATTGGAAATGAATTATAAATAACATAAAAAATACTCGTTTAAATTATAGAAGTAAAAAGGAGCATACACGAAATGCAAGCACGCGCATGTATACGTGTAGATACGAATAATATTTGCACTAATGCGTGTAAGTCTATACATGTGTACTCCTCTGAAATTAATATTAGATTCGTGCGCACAACTTTGGCTTTGCTCCAAATTTTCGATTTAAATGCAACGTGCTTCATTTCGTTCAATGGCTTCCGCCGGTTTTTCTTTTTTTTTATTAATTGGAAAAGCAAAATTAAAGTACTCGAATTGTATCATAGATTATCATCTAATCAAACACTGCCTGATACGCTTTATTTATTGTCTATTGCTAAAATTGAAATCTAATCATTCAAAGTTTAATTCTGAAGAGGAATATTGATAAGCTCGATAAACTAGAACAATGAATCTCACGTAACGAAACCTTCGAATGTGTAAATTAACTAATCGAATATTGATTGTCTTTGCGCAATAACAAAACGCAATCACCTTCCCTATGTTTAAACAAACAACAATTTATGTTTCTTCGGGTATTCCTTGAATTCCCTTGCTGTTATTATAAACATTGTTTCCTTTATTTCATAGTGTAAATTAAATTTGTCCTTTCCTCGTGCGGTAACGTTCAATCGCATTGTAAACTACTATCGTTATTTATTTTTTTTTGCTCAGATTGGGTATCCGTCGCGACAATAAGCACGCGGAAGGATATTGAGTCGTTTCCAACTGCGACCTTAGCTTCATTCAGTGATGGTCTTTTAGGAAATGGAACAGGTATTCCGTATCTTTATCTCACTCCTTTGGATTTCACGGCTCAAGATCTCGCCGTAAGTTCCACTATAATTGCATACTTGCACGATTTTAAATTCACAACTGCCTCGTACGAGATATTACCTTTGTTTGATAAGACAGTGAGTCATTTTATAGATCGGAACATCTTTTGTTCGGTCGATATTATTAAAATTAGTACTCATCTCTTATTCTCGTCTTACGCAATAAGACACTCGACACATATACTTTGAAAACTGGCACATCGACTCGATAATAATTTTTTAATCGTAGAAAGATAATCGAGCCACACTGTTAATGACATTGGCTCAAGGGGAATATTGTAAATCGAAACAATGGGACCCAATGGATCCTCGTTGCGCCAGAGTACTCTTGACCGGAAAAATCAAACCGGTCAGTGAATAAAAATTATTAATACTTTTTAATTCACGTTCGTCAACCTAATTAACGAAGATGCCCATAATAATTACACGTTATATATATTTTGTTTAATAGTTGAAGAATGACAGTACGGAACTTGAATTAGCCAAAAAAGTTTTCTTCGATCGTCATCCGAAGTTGGCTAATATGCCTCCAGGTAATTAGTGTCGATCAATAAGGAAAGTCATTGTACATATTGATTAAAAACTAATGGTGTATTTCATACTATTGCAGATCATCATTTCTATTTTGCCAAGCTAAAAATAATGACGATCGTGGTGTTAGATACTTTCGGTGGACCGAAATACGTCACCGTGAAAGATTACTTGCATCCACCAGTTGATAACGTTACCGAGGAATTCAATCGACATTTCCCTCTGGAATACTACGAAAGCAATTCTCAGGAAAAGTATTCGCCAACCTCTAATATGTTACATCCTGTAGTACGTACTGTATAAATTGTATAAAAATGTTAACTAATAAATTCTTAAACGTGTAACTTGAAACGGTCGAATATCGCGATTTTGTACATTTTTTAATTATCTGTAACATTGAAAATAACGATTAGTTAAGTATTACGATTAAATGATCGAAACATATACTTTACGAAATAATAGACATAATACAATTTATTACATTTAATATAATTTAATATATCCGATATGTACATTTGTATAGTACAAAAATTGCATGTTTTTAAAATACATTACAAAGAATTAAAATATTATATAGCACTTCTTAAATACAATACATTCAAACTGCTATGTATATATTTACTATTTATATACAGATTACAAATTGAGAAATAGTATTAATGTACAGCATTAAATTATACAAATTTTATAGTTCATTTTGGCTATGCTTTCTTTACAGTAGTCTGTGTATTTTTTCCGTGAACTAGACTGGATGAGCTCAATATTACAGAAATTTGTTCTGGCAATGGACAAGCAATTAACAGAAGTTCCTCTGCATTGTAATATTTACTCAATGTCTGATACAACTGCGTAAACGCAGCGCACACATTATTTTTTACTGGTCTGAATAAAATAAACTCCGTCTCCTTGTTAGATAGATACAGTTGCATCGACTGTTGGATCTCCGGGCATTTAAATTTAATTATCCTCAAAACCTCGTTAATCACAGTTGCAACATCTTGCGCGCTCCCGAGAGCGTGCTCTTGGGGTTTATCCGGAGTATTACTATTCAAGTATGATTTTTCTTTTTCCAGTAACTTTAGAACCGGATGTATCAACAAAAATGTCGCATGCTGTATAAGACGTTGACAAGTGTGTTTTAACTTATTATCCACTTGTTTCCTCGAGTCGATTAACTGTTCTTTCATTTGCGGCGCACCTTCTAATAAAAATTCCAACAATGCATTATTCGACAAAGTAAAAATTCTCGAACTTTTTTCGAACAAACCAAACGCTGCTGTCTTGACTTTAGAAAAGTCTAGACTATATTCCTTTATAGTGAAATCCACTTGAAACGGTGCGATTTGCTCGCGCAATATTAACAAATGTTTTATCTGGAAAAGTTCCGCGTCTAAAGGTGTTGCCCTCTTTTCAATCTCGTATTTTGCATTCTCTATACTTTGAACGCAAAGAGATATCGCTTCTTGACTTAGAGATTGAAATACAGACTTGTCCACGCATCTATACAATCTCGACAAACAAACTAAAGTTCTACGAACGGTAGGGTACCACATCCCGTGAAGATCCGCGGGTGAGTTACCCATATGTGTTTTCTGATAAATAGAGTCCATTATAATATGATTTCTGGATATAGGTTCCATAATATTATCATCCATCGACGATATAGATAGCTTTTTCATTTTCGTTTGACGATTCTCCTCTCGTATCGATTCCGCTATGTCTTCCATCATTTTTAATTTATCCGGGTACGCCAAATCGCCCGGCGATGGATTATAATTTAAAACATCGGACTGCAAATAAAGATGCGCGCGAAAAACGAGCCTCTCCTGTACATCGTGCAACAACTGCAAACAAATGTTCCCGAATCCTTCCAGGGGCTCGAAATTATTTTGAACATGTTCATCTAACATTTCAATTCTTAAAATACAGCAGATCTCAGCTAATGTTTCCAAATGATTAATATGAATAATAAATGGTCTAAGTGTATCGTATAAAGAAGTACATAAACTTTCAAGATATGCTGTTAATCCACCGGATGGCTTGGAGAAAAATTCATAAAATAATTTATACTCATCCATGGATGCATGCAGCAGCAATGCACATGAATTTCGTACCAAACTACAATGATCACCATTGTATTTCTCTTTTACAGACAATAGGGACTTTTGTACACTACTGCCTAATACTAGTCCTCTTTGACTCCAATAATATTGATGACACTCTGACAATAAACTATCATATTCTTGCCTCTTGTAAGATTTTACTTCTACTTGTTCGATGACTGGTTTAACTTTCGACAAAATGGTCTGAAATCTCCCATAAAAAAGGGCTAAAGCCGCATCTCCATTATCTTGGGAATTGTCGCTGTCTCTTAGATTTAAAATGCTTTCTGTGGTTTTACTAAATAGATTAAAGACATAATTTTGTATCATAGATATTGCCTTAGATTGACAATGTTTATATTTAATTAAGTAAGTATTGCTTTCTTTAAAGGAAGGATTACTTTGCACAAAATCAATATTTATATCAATTTTATCCAATATGTTAAAGAACATTTCGCTGTTCACCGATAGCGTAGGTGCCTCTAATTTTTCCATTGTCAAATCAATATCTTTGAAATACTTGATGTATTCTGTAATGTTTTCTATAGTAGAATTTAATTTCCTTTGATCGGAATCAAGCTGTTCACTGGCATTATAAAGAGAGGTAGTTTTATCAGAAACCTCTGAATATTGTTTATACAACATTGTAAAGTCCTCCAATGCCTCTTCTATTCGAAGGCAAAGTTCATGGCATTCAAGTCGTCTGGCTTCAAGTTCATTGAGATATAATATGTATTTTATATCTTTCCTGTCCATACACTTCTTTTCTAATGTGGTATAATGTTCCAACAGATCTTGATACCGTTCTATTTGTACAAAAATCTCGTTTTCTTCGTTCGTATACTCGGTATCACCTTGCTTTTCGGAATTAGGTGTACCCTCGGATAACAATTCCTCTTCCAAACTCGATAGACAATCTTTTTGACGATCGGTTAGCGGTGCCAGTGAATCTTCTGACAGACCCCATTTGGTTAAGTTATTCGGAACGTTTATCATTTTGGACATGATTTCTTGTCAGTGGAATCGAGTATCACGATATAGGTGCTTAGAAGAAAAGGAGTAGAATCGCGTGTATTACAAACATTCCGTTTTTTAATATAAAGTAAAAAATTCACTTCAAAAACTGACACCGCAGCAATTACGAATCAAAATCATGAAGTTAGAACAGTTACGTCAAGTTCCCTAGTACGACGTTACAGTATGTTCATCGACAAACATGAAATCACTGTGTTCAGAATATTGTGACGTAAGGACAAATTACTAGAATTATTAAATCCTTATCCACAGCTAACGCTGGTACCAGTTATTTTTTTCTTTCACGAGTTTAGAGTCGCATCAACGACAGGGTAGTGATGCCAGATTGAGCACCGGGTGCACTACTCACATTATGTCAGATCACGCGTACGTGAGCTCGTGGAGTTTCGGAGAGTCGACAAAGGCAAACTGACACACGCCCCCTTTCTCGATTCTCCGAAGCTGCCCGAATTATTTTCGGACCGCCTCGTTATTCCTATGTATGACCGTACATATGTATATCATTTCAGATATCACTTCTGCTACATCTGGCAACGTATAACCATTACTGCTGGCTTCTGCTGGCCTCTACTAACCTCTCCCAACATGTGCGGGCCTCTGCCTGCCTCTGCTGGCCCCTGCTGACCACTGCTGACCACACCTGATACTTCCGACATCGTGTAACGATTACTACTGGTTACTGCCAGCCTCTCCCAGCCTCTGTTGACCTCCCCTGACCTCCACTTATATTTCTGACGACGTATAACGATTACGACTGACTTCTGCCAACCTCCGCTGGCCTCCGCTGGCCTCCGCTGACCACCCCTGATGCTTCCGACAACGTATAACGATTACAACTTGCCACTGCTTGCCACTTTTTGCCTCCGCTGGCCTCTGCTGACCACTGCTGACCACTACCGACGCTTCCGACAACGTGTGACGATTACTACATGTTACTGCTTGCCCCTACTGACCCCTGCTGGCCCCTGCTGACCCCTACTGGCCCCTGCTGGCCTTTGTTAACAACTTCTGACAAGATATATATGTATTAAAACATTGTATAATGTAAATCTATGGCAATAAATGATATAATTACAAAGAATTCTATGTGTTCTCATCATCTTATACCTTTCTTTCCATTCCTCTTAGTTATAAGACCCCCTGAAACTCCTTGGTTTCCCTGAACCCACTAGGAAGTCCTTAAACACCTCGGAAGTCCTGAAAATCAGAACTTTGCTAAAAATTCAGCGTTTCCAAGAATTTTCGGCGTTTCCAAGAAATTTTCAATAAATTCCAAGACTTCCCAGCTGTTTCAGGGCTTTCCAGCTGTTTCAGGCCTTTCCAGCTGTTTCAGGACTTTCCAATTTTACGGGATTCCCAAAATTAAAAGTCGTTTCAGGGGTTTCCAGCTGTTTCAGGACTTTCCAATTTTTCGGGACTCCCAAAATTAAAGTCGTTTCAGGGGTTTCCAGCTGTTTCAGGACTTTCCAATTTTTCGGGATTCCCAAAATTAAAGTCGTTTCAGGGGTTTCCAGCTGATTCAGGAGTTTCCAGCTGTTTCAGGGCTTTCCAATTTTTCGGGATTCCCAAAATTAAAGTCGTTTCAGGGGTTTCCAGCTGTTTCAGGACTTTCCAATTTTTCGGGATTCCCAAAATTAAAGTCGTTTCAGGGGGCTCCAGCGGTTTCAGGACTTTCCAGCTGTTTCAGGGCTTTCCAATTTTTCGGGGGTTCCAAAATTAAAAGTCGTTTCAGGACTTTCCAGCTGTTTCAGGCTTTTCCATCTGTTTCAGGCCTTTCCCATTGTTTCAGGCCTTTTAATTTTTGATTTTGGCGGCAAGTACGAGAGCTGGAGACTTTGGAAATCCAATTCTAACCGGGAAAACGGTCTCTTAAAACTAAGGGAATGATTTGGAGAGGAAAAGAAAGGTAAAAATGATGAGAACACATAGAATTCTGTTAAATTATATCATTTATTGCCATAGATTTACATTATACAAGGCTTGAATACTTATACATCATGTCAGGAGTTGATAACGAAGGTCAGCAGTGGTCAGCAGTGGTCAGCAGTGGTCAGCAGGGGTCAGCAGGGACGAGCACACCCTGGCAGAGATCGACGGAGGTCAGCAGGTACCAGCAGTAGCAAGTAGTACTCGTTATACGTTGTCAGAAGGATCAGGAGTGGTCAGCAGCGGTCAGCAGAGACCAGCAGAGACGAGCAGAGACCAGCAGAGGTCAGCGGGTACCAGCAGTAGCAAGTAGTACTCGTTATACGTTATCAGAAGGATCAGGAGTGGTCAGCAGAGGTCAGCAGAGGCCAGCAGGGACAAGCATATGCTGACAGAGATCGGCATAGGCCAGCAGTAGCAAGTAGTAATCGTTATACGTTGTCAGAAGTATGAGGAGTGGTCATCAGTGGTCAGCAGAGGCCAGCATAGGTCAGCAGAGGCCTGCAGAGGCAGGCAGAGACTCGCACATGCTGGCAGTGGCGAGCAGAGGCCAGCAGAGACAAACAGTAGCCAGCAGTAATCGTTATACGTTGTCAGAAGTATGAGGAGTGATCATCAGTGGTCAGCAGAGGCCAGCAGAGACAAACAGTAGCCAGCAGTAATCGTTATACGTTGTCAGAAGTATCAGGATTGGTCAGCAGCGGTCAGTAGAGTCCAGCGGAGGCAGGCAGAAGTCATTAGTAATCGTTGTGCGTTGTCAGAAATATAAGTGGTGGCCAGCAGAGGCCAGCAGAAACCAGCAGAAGACAGTAGAGGCTGGGAGAGGTTGACAGTAGCCCGTAGTAATCGTTATACGTTGTCAGAAGTAACAGGAGTGGTCAGCAGAGGCCAGTAGGGCCCAGCATAGGCAGGCGGAAGTCATTAGTAATCGTATTGCATTGTCAGAAATATAAGCGGTGGTCAGCAGAGACCAGCAGAAGCGAGCAGAAGACAGTAGAGGCTGGGAGAGGTTGACAGTAGCCCGTAGTAATCGTTATACGTTGTCAGAAGTAACAGGAGTAGCGGTCAGCAGAGGCCAGCGGAGGACTGTAGGAAAATTCAGAAGTACATGTCGTATCGTATACATATCGTACTTATTACTATGTATAAGCTTCAGGTAAAAAGGGGTATAACTGGGTAGAACAGTTTTATTATAATAACTGGAGTATTTGTCTACATAAAGTGACTGCATTCTTGCTCACTTTAACGTCCGTTCAGTTTGTCTGTGATGCTTGCTACGTTAAGTTGAAGAAAGAATGTTTTGCGCACAGATCTATGTACTAAAAATATTTTAATTCGCAGTGATTTTAATACAAAACGTTGACTTATATTAAATATTTGTTAACATTACACACTTAATACTGTAACAACATATGTACATTGAGAAACACATTAACACGAGAGATCACGAGAGATCACGAAATATATAATATCAATTGTCCCCGCTTTCATTGATTCTCTTTGATTCATCTACATTAATCGTTTTGCACTCGAGATTTTTATCATCGGTTTTCGCGTTAGTATTTGTTATCGTATCTCCACCAGATAAGTCTTTTTTTGTTTCTTCAGTCTCCGATACATCTTTTATTGCCGGCACGTTGATGCCTGGAGGTACCTGAAACGTGGTTTACTTCTGTGTAATTAATATACACGTGCATAAATAAAAACGTGGTGTATGCTTTTGGAAACATTAATACAAAAATTTATGGGGCTATGTATTACCTGAAGAATTATTTGCACGGGTTCACGTTTTTCTACATTTTGTAATGAATTACCTGTTCTATCTCTTTTGTGAAAATTAATTCCGAATTTTAATAATGGCCCTAAACCTAGATTAATAGACGCGCCAGATAGACTAAGTGGCAATATTATTATAACCATACCAACAGCTGAATAGAGTATACATCTAACAATCCATGCATATGTCCACCAAAGATCAGCTGAAAGAAAAGGTAAATTATTGCGTATAATTGTACTGAAATGTACAATTGTACGCGTATAGATTTTCTAATCAATCTCTAGACAAATACCTGTGGCATTATTTATAAAACTAGACACAACAGTTCCCACATGCGTGAGTGGATGAAGAATAACAGTAGTAATAAAATGAGATAACGCAAGTGCAGGTGTAACTTTTAATTTTGGATTAGACATTGTCGCTTGGAAATATTTTTCACAATCTTCATTAGCTACAAAGAGATAATGCAAGATTAAGAAGGTTTTAAACCCGTTTAAAATATACTACACTTTGATATATAATATTTACGAAATATATATGAAGCAAATTTTTCCCACATGTTCATTTTAGTTGGCTGGCATGAAATTGGTATGTCTGCAAATTTCATTTGCTCTGCAGTAGACTTAATTTCAGCCTCCTGTTCAAAGCATACAATAAAAGTTTTCTCACAACTCTATACAATTATGCAACATTAGTTATTTGCCAGTTAATGCTAGTTAAGGCCGCGGTCATTTATGTGGGCATGGTTACTTCTCAGAATTCAACGGAGAAATTTTAATGGGGGATTCTAGAGGCCAAAATAAGGCGAAAATCAAGAATACCAATTTGTTGATGGAGGCTTTGTTAAAAAGTTATTAACATTCCAAGTTCCACTCGTACTGAATTTTTTTCTCGAAAATGCGCAGGATTTCGAGGGTATGTCTATTCACCAAAAATTATTGTAATTGACCCCCGCGACCGAAAATAATTTTTCCAGAACGATTTGAAATTTTTTTTTTCCGTCGAAAAAATTTCACACCTTCTCGAATTTTTTTCTCGAAAGTGGGTAGGATTTCGAGGGTATGTCTATCCACCAAAAATGATTGTAATTGACCCCTGCAATCGAAAATAATTTTTCCAGAACGATTAGAAATTTTTGAATTTAATTGTTAATAACTTTTTAACGAAGCCTCCATCAACAAATTGGGTATTCTTGATTTTCGTCTTATTTTAATCCCAGGGGTGGCCGAACACTTAAGTGGGCACTGCTGTACTTACCTGTAAAAGTTGCCACCAAGTCATCAAGAAACTCATTACAAATATGACTTGTATAATGATGAACATAGGAAATCCATGACCCTGTTTAATCATTCTAAATGTAAGACAAACCATTAACATTGCAAACACAATTAAAGCTCCATCAGGCTGAAATTTTCAAACCAATATAAATTTATCTATGCTTTGGTATAAACTATGTATTAGCAATGGGATAAAATGCATGGTAAACTTTATTACATTGTTTCGTATAACTTGTAGGATCATCTCAAACTTGTCAAGTAACACATTAAAGACATTTACACCTTCAGCCATGTAATTGTACGAAGATGGTTTTCTTATTATATTACTCATAATTTCATCAACCTCCCTCAAAGATACCTTTTGAATATCAAAATTTTGCAGCATTTTCATTTGGGAATGAGATACATCAATTTCCAATAATCCTACCAATGACACATCATCCTCCATCTATTTCCAATAAATAAAACAAATGTATGTCGATCTAATTAATTAATATATCTAATAGAATTATTGATGTCCATTACTTTTATGTTAATGTTTGATAGTAATAAATTAATAAGCCTCTTATAAAAAATTGCCTCTTGACCGCTGAAATTGTCAAATTGCTTAACATATTTGCAATCTTTCTCAATTTTATCATCTATGGGATCTTCCAACCTAGGACAATTTCATCTCTTACTTACTTAACAAATATATTTATAAAATCTATTCAATGCTGTGAATAGCATTTTCTCAAGAGCTCTTTGTCATTCTCACATAAACTACATATCTTTTATACATACACTTCTGCATCCGGTACTTCAATCATCTTCTTGTTTTGTCTGTCATAATAAAAGGAATGGGGGTCTAGTATTTTCTCCGAATTTCTGCAAAGGAACATGTTGATTATTAGTTTCTATGCGGCAACAAAAACATTTCGTCTACCTTCGATAATTCAATTTATCAGAACACTTACTTTGCACCTTCAAAATAGAATTCATCTTCGCAGCGAACAATCGAAATAACAGCGGAAACATTGATAATAATATAAATTAACCCCCACGACCATTTCATGTTGACACGATAACGTTCAAACGCAAGATTCTAAACAGGTTTCCATGCAATCTCTAAAAATACTAATGCCCTCACTTATTTCGTAACCTCTCTTCTAGTTTCCATTGCACACTTTATACTTATAAAGATCTATTGTATGCCCATACAATAAAAATCACGTGTCGCTAAATTAAAATGTATACTTTGAATTGAAATTTGTACAAGTGTACAAATAATACTAATACTAATATGTATGATGAGATCGAAACTGATAACCACCGTACAGATATGTATGGCGATAGTTATGCTTCTAAAGCGTATCTTAGTACATGAACTCGTGTTACGCGGGAAAACAATAAGCATAAATAGTTATAACTATTATAACTATATCTATTGTATCTATCACGCATACTTATGTATCAAATTTATTATGTTCATACATGAATTTATTAAAAAAACAATTCATTTTATATTGGGGATTCCCACAATTTTCGAATTTTATTATACAATAGATATTTAGAATTTTATGCCGTCATATTACATCTACACGATGAAAATGACGAATATAGTAATTAATCTTAATCACGTCGCAATTAAATTGCTTTAGAAAGGTTTCCCAAAATGTTTCCAGCCTAGATACTTTTGAAACTTTAATATTGTATAACATGAAACTACAAAATATGTAATTAAATTTTTAATAAATATATTAACTTCATGCAAATTTGCAGCAGCTTGTTATTATATATTTAAACTATTTTGCAAACTAACAAAGCTGTTGCCTAGGTACCATATTTAAGTACATATATGTAACATTTACTTGTTATATCTGCACTGTAAATCTTATAATTTTATTTTAAATTTACGTAATAATATATGTATATAGTCTTTGTTCTAAAGATATATATATACATTTTGTAAGAAAAACTGAAACAATACTTTGACTATTAATTCACATATATTTTTCGAATAATAAAACAAATATGTTTAAATAAAGCGTTTTTTTCACTTTTTACAACCGTATACTTAATTAAGTTGTCCATGGAACGTATTACTTTTAAAAAATCTTGTGGTTTATATACTTCCTCGTACCTATTATGTATCATGGGCTTATCTACAGTGATGCAAGTGTAATGTACTTTTGTGTATACGTAGTTATAAACCAGGAAACGAAATAAACTTATTTCGTAAATTAAAATGGAAGTTTTAAATCATTTCGACCACATCGATGAGAGGTATTAATTTTGTTTCCTTTAACAATTACAAGAAACGCTTTTCTACAATGCGTAAAAATAGGAGTTAGGATGACGATAATTTAACAAATAGCATTGGTTATAGAATTTCTCTTCTCAGTCTCGCCAAATTTTTAAGAAAGTTTATGAAATTAAACGTGTGCACTTACGTACGTATGTGCTTCTAATCTCTGCAGAAATAGCGAAGCACTTGTTTAGTTCGAAATGGAGGTTATGGCGTAGTTTAATTATTATTTAAGAGAACAGCCACTAATTAAATCTGGTTTCGAGCGTTCGTTATTGTTCACTACTTTTTAGTGTGGATGAGAATACAATTAGCAATGACAACGTCGGCGTCGTTTTGGAGGAAGCAGAAATAATAGATTGTGACACAGAAATAGAAACTGTCACAGATGATAATATACAGTATCAATTATGCGAGGTGAACAGAAATGATAATGCAGTTGCATATCGTGTGGTACAAGTCGGCGATGCCCATGCAAACAATACTGAATTATCATTAGCTGCACCTATGAATAATACTGTCCAAGTTCTGACATCACCTATAAACGGCCAATTCTATGTACTGAGCAATGGCAACGAAGTAGTAGCTACAGAATCTACAAGAGCAGTTGCACCGCGCGTTAAACTCCAACTAGACAATCCACAAAACATTCTTACTACTATTAAAAAGGTAATACTTTCATTGCGCACAGCTGGCAAGAACTTTTTAATAATAATATTTTTATTTAGAGGGATGAAAGAAGAAGGGTAACGCATAATGAAGTTGAAAGACGCCGTAGGGATAAAATCAATAACTGGATTTCAAAGTTAGGAAAGCTTCTACCAGATTGTGACCAAAATACAACAGGGGATGGTGACGTGAAAACAAATTTTGAATTGCAGGTAAACTATTTTCTATCCCAAAAATAAACATGTCTGTTAATTGTTTCTGCAGTATTTTTAATCCATGAAAATATTGTCTGCAGAGCAAAGGAGGAATTTTAGCAAGGGCATGTGAGTATATCACAGAATTAAGAGACGTACAAGAGAGTTTCTCGCAAAGTTTAGATGAGAATGCTCAGCTGGCAGAAGAAGCTCAAACTTTAAGACACGTAGTGAATCAATTAAGAAAAGAAAATTCTGAACTGAAGGCTCAGATATCAAAGGGTACAACATACATATTGGGTACTTAATTTTTATAAACATGCAATAAAGAATAGTAGCTGTGAATAATTTTTTTTTTTTTTTGAATCTTTTTCCATAGTACAATTTTTTTTTCAAAGCATTGCAACATATATCTTTAAATTGTACACGTGCAATTCGATATCGGCAAAGACATTCGTGATTCAGTGCAATAAAGTAATAATAATGTAGTAATTATAAAATGTTTATTTACATATATTTAACTGAGTATATATTTATATTTCGAAAACAATTGTAAACATATTACGTAATTTCAACTGTACATATCATAAACAATAATTATTTATAACGTGAACAATCGAGCAAAGAGAGTAATTTATTATTAAATCATTAAATTAGATATACAAATATACAAAACGTTGCGCTATTTAATCCGGTAATTAATCTTTATCCAAAAGTTATATGTCATTTAATTTTAATGTTGCTTAGTATTTAGGTTGCGTTGAAGTTCTTGCTAACAAACAGTTCTACAATATTTACACTTATAAAGTACAATACCTAGCTATTTACACGAAACCAAACGATACATATCGTATCAATCGTTTTAATTCAATGTTTTCCCGTACGACACCCGCGACCGATCGACCGGAAATGGATACCAGACACTTAATTTTAGGTTGGGGAATTAAACAGCTCCCAAGATATTAATAAAGAAATGTTGGGAATTAATATGCAAACATATCTTCGTTGTGTAGTAGCCCTCGAGTCGTCGTCGATCAGATTCTCGCTAAGATGTTACTATTCTCATCCACACTAATGATCTATAGTGTCCCAAACAAGTAATAGCCGAACCTAATCTAGTATCTCGGAAACTATTACATTCTCGAAGCTAAAATTTTGTATCTAGTATTCATTTCCCCTCCCATCTAGCCATATCAAGTTTCCCGTCGATCGACAGCGGATGCTGTTCGGAAGAATAGCTTTTTAACTCGTTAGCGTAGAATGTGCATGCATATCTGTGATGTACAGTTATCAATCGTCAATATGCACATACAGCTACCAGTATCAAATACAAGAGAAAGTATATACGTTTACATATATATATATATATATATATATATAAAATATATATATGCAACAGCCTAAACTGTTATTACTGTAACGCCTAGGAATATTATTGCTTTGAAGCACATTATTTCGACATTTGTGCAAGATCTGTTTCGATATATCCCAGAGTAATGGAACAAATTCTTTAACCTGATATTATAAAATCAATAAATATCAAATTATTCGTTATATATTTACCAACATATGAATCCTCGTCAAGATATGTTGAGTACGGCGAATACAAAGGACATTGTATTTAAACATTGTTTAAATTTTTTTCTTCTTCTAACAATAGGTATATTGTATTTACATTTGTAATATTACTCCGGTAATTAACAGAAGTTTTATTTGTATGCTGGTGTAGGTGGAACTCGAATGAATGAAATGTTCCGAGTGCGTAGTATCCAGTATTATCGGTTCAGCATTTACAATTAACACGAGATAACCTGTTTCTTACGTTTAGTTACATTGGCCATTAAACTTGCTCTTACGATAGTAATGCTTACGGAGAGATTGCATTCGAACAAATAAGTTTGTTCTATAAAAATAACTCTCGAACGAGTTAGGTCCAGCAACAAATGTTTCGCTCCTAATCTACACATCAATGGGTTAATGATCTCTGTACAGTCGAGTAGGAATCTTGCTCCTCCATTTTGTCATCATATTGTCCTCGTCCTATAGTAAATACAACGCCAGAAAATAAGCAAAAATATACTTCTGTGTATTGTTTTTCCCTTCGCAAAAATTTCTTCTATTAAATTACGTTTTGAAGATAGAGAAAGATAATAAAAAAAAAGGTCCGCCGATACAAAATAACGATTACCTTTGTTTTTTTTTTGTTTTTTTTTTTACAAACATACTTCGAAAAGTGTTTGTACGTCGAGCTTGACGAAAAAACGAACGAAGACGTGTATAGTAAACACATTGGCAGTGTTGAAAACTTTCACAATCGGTAGATCAGTTTTTTGAAACGTTAATTTAATCATCCGTGATAAATAATTACACAGACAATGTCTACAATTTGTTTACCTTTTACGTTTACATACAAAACACAGAGACTTTTGCTGGCTGACTGGCTCTCGTTACGATATTCTCGTAACATTTTTCTGTACAAGAGTAGAAAAACTTGAAAGATACCTGCGGGGGGGTGGGGTGTTATTTTAGACACTGCTCCAGCAGCAGTAGAAAAGGAGGCTTGATATGCGAGTATTTACACGTTTACTGATAACTGTATCGTTAATACTGTCTCTCTCTCTCTCTGCCACGACGTAGAAATATAATTTTCCTCGTCTTTTTACCAAATTTAAAATCTCCGTACAAACTACCGATGAGTATTTACGATTACTGCTTCGGGGCGAAGTAACGATAATTTTTTTAGGCAGTAAAAGGGTGATCGCGTGACATTTTATTCGAGATTCTTTCCTACAAATGTGTGCTATGATACGTTTCTCTTCACTGAGAGAGAAGTCCCCAGGATAACGCTATTAGTCGTTACATTATTTTAGTGTGCGTTCTAGACTATCTAGATTATCGAACAGAGGAGTACATTCGAAAGATCTTCCGACCTGTAACTACCGTCGTCTACAGCAAAAATTTGGTTATAGTTCGATCACACTTTTCTCTCAGTGGTACCATCGTACCGATTCTCGTTTAGATATCCAGAGAAACAAGTATTTCTCTCGTCAGTCTTTCGATTACCATAAAAAATGTATGGCCGTTGCTAATCCGTTCATTGATCACAACACTCATTCAAGCGGCTGAATAACACTAAAAGTTTTATCACTGTTCTGTATATGAGTGCGTGATAAGAGTGACTAGTACTTTCTCTTTAGTACTCGAAAGCTCGCTAGCGGCTTTATACATGTATCATCTACGTCTAATAATAAGTGTATTTATTTCTCCTCCGGTTTATGCAATATTTTTTTTTTTTCACTCAGCTCTTATACTTTCTAACGATACTTTTTTCTTTGCCTATCGTCGCTACGACTTTTCCTGTTCCCTATGTTTTACACTTTTTTGCTCGTCTTCCGTTTTCGTATTCTCGTCGTCCTAAACATTTTGTGTAAGCGTAGCTTGTGCGCGTATTCTCCTTTAGATAAATTTCATTAACTTTAATCAACGTTACTTCCTGCGGGTTGAATTCATTTTTATTTCGAACAAACAACGTTTATTATTTACTAGAGAAATCTAAGCGATAATACCTTGTCACTCCGTACAGTGATCATCGCGATTGCAAGACGATAGAGTGTTCGTTTTAATGTAAAATCTTTCCACGAGGCAGTGAAATAAATATCGTTAATGATACGGACTTACAATCCTCTTCCGTTAAACCGTATACCTTTTTAAATTAAATCTGAATACTATAACTGGACTGATGAAGATTGTAGCGTTCTGCTACCCCGTCAACGGCACGCATCGACGCCATTCGATCGATCGTAAAATGAAATTTAACGATTATATAGATTGATTACCTTCGTTCCATACATGTGACAAGCGCTTACGATCGTTTGCATTCCCAACGGATGAGAACGAGTGCGACCTTCGATTTCCGTGTAACCGTAAGATCGAAACAACGAAGGGAGATCGATCGATTCATTGCTACATTTCTCTCTCAAACGTTAAGTAACGGACATTTAAGTTATGGTCGTGAAGCAACCGATTAAGCGCTTCTCATCAGAGTTTTACAAGTCAATGTATGGCACGAAGGTAGGCCTGTCTCAGGACGGTTGAGGTCGAGTACTTTTTTTGCTGCTACCAAACGTGAACCAAGTACCAACTTTACGTCCTAACGAGTTCGTCGCCCCCTGTCCGACCATAGTGGGCATGTCGTACGTCGATTCTCTTTTATACGCTTTGTCTGCAATTTAATCACAACATGATCCGTTGGTTTCTAAGATATTGCTTTTCTTTATGACCAGAACAATAACTATTTTACATACTGCGTGGCTTGATCGGCGGTCTGTTCTGCTGCCTTGTCGCCGCGAGCCTGGCTAATTGTCTGGCCGCAGCTGGAAACTCCAATCCGTCGTTTCTATCCTGAGCGACCAGCCTCCGTTCCTCCGCCATGGCTGCCAACCATCGACGCTTCTCTTCCGCCGTGCGGCAGCAAAATAGCAACCACTTGTCCCGAACGCAACTGTACACTTTCAGACAGTGTCTCACCGTCACCCCCAACTGATGATCTGCGAACAAACCAACATGCACTTCGTAGACACGATCACGATAAAACGATTAAGAATTTAGCATTAAGCGATTAGCGCTTCCGTACGAATTACCTTTACCGTCAGGCACGTCGATCACTTCGCTCGTGTCCAGATAAATCCGACCTTTATACACGTACGTGTTTCGCTTTAAGATATCCTTTTTACAATAAACCAGTTGATGGTCGAACAGAAAAAGGGTGATGTTGTTTGTCCACATGCCGGTGGTGACTCTCATCGCCTCACCCTGGTAAATTAACTGCGACGAAACTTCTATGAGATCCTCACCCTGTAAATATCAATAAAAGATAATTATTAAAAAATTGAAAGCCCATTTATTCTTTTCGAATATAAATACCTACCTCCCATCCTTCAACCCTTAACTGCCACGAAGCTAACTTCTCGAGGCTCTCCATTCGTCTCTTTCGTTCGTTGATTAAAACCGCGACGCCTCGCATCGCTTCCAGAGCTTCCTGAATCTTATGATAATCCGGGTGATCGACCTTCGTGTATTTCAACAACTCCGCCAACTGTAGCGGATATTTACATATTCGTTGCACAGGCGTTAACAAATACCCGTCCAAAGGGATCTCTATCAAACCCCTCATCAGTCTACACGCTTCGAAAAATTTGCTGTAACGATTATGCTGATAAAGTTCTTGCAACGTGGCGGTGGCCATCGGATGGCTGTTGCAGTATTCCGAGTACATACGAAATCCCGCCCTCTGAAAACGATTTCAACGACATCAAGTACATGCTATCGCGATTGTTACACCGTGACACGTTATACTTAAGCTTTCTTACATGATTGAGAAAACATTCGCCGACGCAACTCTTGTACGGAGCGTTCCAGTCGATGCTGGACTCGAGATCCTTGAGGAACTCGGACTGGAAGTCCAGCAGCTCCTCGAGATTGATAAAAATCGTTTCTATCTGTTCCTCGTTGAACATGTCAGCGCGTCGTCGACATTCGGCCACGTATCCTTCAGCTACGTCTCTCAATATTTTAACGAAATCTCGCTCGGTCTGGACCAGTTCCCGAACCACGCTCGCCCTGACTTGCTCGTTCGACAACAGCGAAACGCTGGTGCGTCTTCTCAGTTGGGTGGTGGACGTGCCCCCGGAAGCCATTGCAGCCAAACAATCCTCGACGGTGTCTTCTTGGCTCACGCGTAACTGGACAAACATAGTTCATTTGTACAATCACAACGTCGAACGGTCGCGTATCCTCGAGAATAATCGGTGTTATACCCTGACAAATGCAGCCGGGAACCAGCCATGCTCTCCTCTACAGTTACCCCACCACCAGTCCTTGTCCAGGTTGTCCAGGACCTCGATCACGTCGCCAGCGCGAAACGCCAGCTCCTCTGGTTCCATCGCCACGTGGTCCCAAACAGCCTCGGCCAAGATCACCACCTCTTCGTCCATCGTCTGCTCGAAGGACTTCTTCCTGTCCGTCAAGGAGGCGATGGAGGATTCGGAGTCGGACATCATCTCGTCGTCGGACGTTCCGCCTCTCCCGTCCTGTTCGTCCTCGGACAGGACGTTCCCACCGGGCAACCTCGCACCTACGTCCGAAACAAACGAGCCGCCTTTATCGCGGGAACGGAGCAACAAGATCGTAGTTCGATGATCTCTCTTTCTACTTTTTCAGTCCTTGGGCTGTACCGTGTTTCGTTCTCGCGTGTTTCGTTTTTGTTCGGAGCAGCCTTAGACTTTTAATTCGCAATACGAGAAAGCAGTCACATATTCGAAAAATCATCCTGCTGCAGCTATCCATCGTGGGGTGTTGGCAGCGAAAGATTAAAAAATGTCGTTTATGATGTTTGACGGGGAGGGTCGACTAATCCAATCGTGAAGCCTCGCGAAACGATCAAGTTTCATGAGATTGCGAGAGACGTATATCTTCGATCGTACGTAGAAATGTTTCGCGAAGCTCCCTGAGAGCAATTAGTCTCTACTGCAGCTTGCAAACAAAAGCGTATTCACAGGAAGCAGTCCTTACAGAATGAAGATATCAACACGTTTAATACAGGAGTGTTCCGCATTCCTTACTCTTAAGAAACTCTTTCTCACAAGGTGCGTTCCGTTACAATGGTGAAATGCTTTAAGATCGTTACAAGGGTGCATGCTGATTCAGAGCACTCTCGGAGGTTGTGTCTAGAGAGAGACTGGATACCATTTGGAGTGGAAAGTGTGCACTAATCTTCGTCAACGGGTTTGCTACCGGTGGTGAGCCTTTCGTGCCGAGCGAACGAGCAACGTGTTGGAAAACTGACCACTCGCTTTGCAATAATAACAAACGAAACGCTCCGAGAGTCTGGCGGAGTTGCTCGTTCGCTTGGGCGGAAAGCAAGGAAGATGTCTACGTTAGAACTCTGATAGCACAAGTCGAGGAATCCGACTCCAAAATTGACGAGTGTTAGATTTACCTGCAGTTTTGGTGCGCATCAAGGGTGATAGCTGATTGATACCCAGTGGTTGGCTAAGTGAACGCCTCAAATTTGTCCGAAAACTCCTCCCTTTCGCGTTACTGGGACCAGAATAAAATCGCTATTAATTTTCTCCTTTAATCGCACATGGTCGGATAGAGGATCAACAAGCTTGTGTTTACGTAGAAGCATCGATACAACATTCAGCAACGAATTACAATAGGTAAGTATATATACACACGACAAGGTATACGCGTGTATACAGAGTGGTTCTGTAAATTGGCCTACCTCAATCGCTCATTTTCTTATCCTTGTTTTTACATTTAATTCTACTAGATGACCCGCTATAAGTGACGCAACCGTAGGTTACTCTACGTATGAATATCATATCATAGACGAGGTACACGAATAGACCTTACATCTGATGTATTTTTCAGGTTCCATTACCATTTTCTGCACCTACTCGAATTTTTTTCTCGAAAGTTTGTACGAATTTAGGGGTATATCCGTTCACAAAAAATGATTGTAATTGACCCGTGCAACTAAAAATAATTTTTTTGGAACGATTTGAAATTTTTTAATTTCGCCGAAAAATTTCACAGTTTCTCGAATTTTTTTCTCGAAAATGCGTAGGAATTCAGGGGTATGTCTGTTCACAAAAAATGATTGCAATTGACCCGTGCGACTAAAAATAATTTTTTTAGAACGATTTGAAATTTTTGAATTTCGCTGAAAAATTTCAACGCCTACTCGAATTTTTTTCTCGAAAATGCGTAGGATTTCGGGGGTATGTATATTCACAAAAAGTAATTGTAATTAGCCCCTGTAACTAAATATAATTTTTTCAAAATGATTGGACCGAATGTCCATAAGGTGTAAGGTCTGCTCGCATAACTCGTCTGTGATTATACTATCGTTATCTTACATACGTTCAGGAGGAAAGAAAGAGAAAAATAATTGTTGTTCGTAGAATTTTGAACGTAGAATCGCCTCCAGTCTCGGTTGCAGTACTCATCGCGGTGCACCCTGTATATTATTTTCGTATTTGTTAAAATAAATTGCTGTCAAACATGTTAACGACAGCTACTAACTACTCTAACAACTTCCATACATCTAAGTTAGTCTTTGTAACTTGCAATTAATCCTCTAAGCAGCACTGAAATTGTTAGTTAAAAAGAGGACGTTCCTAAGTGAGAGTTTAATAATCTCGAATATCTCTGTTCGTGTACAATGTGGTCTAAGGCTACGTGGTTCGAGACTTCGTATGCAGAATAAACAAGTATAACAAAAATTGATTAGGCTTGTAGAAAAAGATATGTGAATTTCTCTTACGGCGGTTTTGCTCGTCGATACGAAAGAACCACTCCGTACATTGTTACGCGTGGCAGACCAACTTGTTTTACGAGGAAAAATTAAAAGAAGGTGGTTTGTTATAATACCCGTCTACCTACCACTATTCTCCCTCGATTTACTGGAAAGGTTCGAGAATAAAGAATTTAAATTTCCTTCAAGGACAGTATTCAAGGAGTTATTTTGATGATTGTCTAATGTCGTGCTATGATTCGTTTCTGGTCGAACGAAAATAAAGAAAGGAACAGCGAGCCATTCGTATAACGCCCGTTCGAGAACAGATAATTATTTTGTACGCCAAGAAAGAGTAAGCTACGATCACGAGAAAGCACCTAGTGATCTGTCCATCGTTTACTCGTCGAAATATTCCACGAGAAACCCAAATTATGTGCACAGTGTTCCACATACATATGTCTCCCTACGAATTTACCAAAATATTCTGTGACTAACACAAATGCTATATTGTAGAACTGCTGTGGAAATAAAATTCGATAATACTCTTATCGCTGTACGGGGCAAGAATAGCTAAATGATATTTACGTTATCCTATGATACAAAGTATATTTTGAAACGGTCCAAGGCGACCGCAAATTGTACGCTTCGACAGTTATTTATTTACATGGAGCAACAGTCATCAAAAATTCCAAAAGTAACGCATTGATTATGATAAAACTCTTGTTTTATTTTTAGTCACAGAATATTAAGAATCGCAGAGAGACCTATGGGGCACTCGATATATGTAAGGGTAATGTTTTCTTTAATTGTAATAGAAATGTTAAGTATTCGCGGTACGGATCGTGAATTCTGGGTCGCTCCAAGTTTTCAGTTTTCAGTTTTCTCGTCGTAGGGGAGCTGTTGCTCGCAGATGGCGAAAAGTCAATGAGGCATTTGCGATAAGGGTGCGAGAGCACGGGATGGATCACGGTCGTTAAACGCACCTTCTCAGCGTAACGATGTCATGGGAGGAGTGCCTCGGACTGAGCCTGGGAGGCCTCGTCTTAATAGGCGAAGGAGTCGAGAGCATCCTGCGGTAATTGTGCGCGTGGCTGTAACCAGACCTCGTGTCCCACTGTAGTAACCTCTGACCTCCTAAATCGCTGTTCGTTCTTCTTACATGCTGGTGCCTCGACGTTCGACTCTGCAGATCCGCCTGAAAAGTATTACATCCACCGTTAAGCGTCTACGTTCCCGTACATTTCCGTTCGAAGCGAGTACGCGGGGCTCCTTTGGGCGTGACGCCAGGCCAGTTCTCCAGAAGATTGCTCGATCAGCGAGCTGGTGAATATACTATTCCCCACATCGGTTTAGAAACACGTTTAGAGAAACTCGGTTAACGCAAGAAACAGCCAGAGATCGTAACGGTGATCGTAGATCAGAATTCACTCACTGTTCGAGAGTCCATGACTGTTTGCTAGCCGACGAGCAGCATCCTCTCGCTTCTCTCAGATTACTTTTATCGCTCTCGAAAAATACTCGACTTTTTTTAATACTTTCTTCGAAAAGGAGATCTCCGTTCGGTCGCGTGGATCGAAATAAATAAACCGACAACGAGCGTACGACGTATAAACCGATGTACGATTTGACTTTCGTGCACGATTCCATAAATCGTGCCCGGTCGGGCGCGCAACTCGATATCAACTAACCAGGACCCCGTTTCCTCTCCTCGTATCCTGGCTAACGCGATATATTCCCTCGTCGCCTATCAGAGACGGCCAGTGATCTGCACCAGCGTGGCTAAACCGTATACAAACGTGAGTAATGCGAGTTATTGTGCCGAAGGAAACAGTCATACGTGCGGCCCGATAATGAATACAAATGTGTGACGCTCATAATAGCAAATATAAATCATCAGCGAGAGAGGAAGTAACACTGGGACGCGAATAAAAAGACACGCTTCCGAACTGTTGATAATTTATATTTGCACGACCGAAGATCCTTGATCCTTCTTAACTTCCTCAGTCCTGGATCATTTTACGTTCGTTATATTCTGTATTAAAAAAATAATTGCAAAGCTCGCGTGTGTGATAACGTGCAGCAGGCTTGAGGAGGTTAATAAACCCAAAATGATCGTTGCCCTTTTGTGATAAATTAGTTTTCGTTAACCCATCGACGGGAAAGTATTTTGCATCGATGAGAATTGGTGATTTTCTTTTAAGGTGCACGCAAAGTACTTTCCCCTGTGTGTTGCGTATAATTGACGATGTTAAGTACAGATGAAGCGACGAAGTTGTTTAAGCGACTGATGTTACTGATTTTTATTGACCATTAATACGAACGACAGTCTTTACCTTAAACTTGTCGATCAGTATCTGGTTGATGAGCTCGGACTGGGGCCGTGATTTGTCGGCGACTCGCCTACGAAGGGCTGGAGGACTATCCGTCTCGTCCTGGACATCCGTGTCGTGGGACTCGGAGCTATCACCACCCCCCATCATTCCACCACCACTGCCCCCAGTCAATGCTCCACCAGATACCATCTGTATCGTTCATAATTTATTTCATTATTCGCACTTCTTTTTGGCGGTGTCCATCGCGCTTTGCAGGACAATTACCGACGATCCGACTCGAAACAAAAGATATAGGCTGCCCAAGGTCACCGAACCCCAACCTTTATAAAAAGAAATCTTTCCCCATACTAGAAACACGTTACGTTGTAAATATTATTTAGAAAAGCACGAGAAGTTTACGAACTTTCCCGAGGAAACAGAAAGCACTTAGTTCGATCACTTTGTCGAACGTGTCTCCTCTATCGATCAATTACTTAGTCGACTTGGATACCGTTTCGTGAAAAACAGCAATCTTCTGTTATTAAGCGATGGTTTGTATAATAATTTATTTGAGTAAAAATAGTGACGTAGGGAGGAGTGACCCCGAGCGAACAAATCTTTCTGCCTCGACTATCGGTATAGCGTCTTGACAGTTAAATAACAACTTCCATTCCATTTCTTCCCTCTCGTTTTCCGTCCAACGAAATCGGAGACTCAGAGCTGAAGTACAAATACATTTCGTTTAATATTAAATTTGTCGCTACCTTACCTCGATCTGTATTCCACTGTCTCCGCTGTTGCATTTTGCATTCCTGGCAGCTTTGCTGCCCTTTTTCCTCTCCTTGCTGCTTCTCCATACAAGGGGACCAAATCTACGGGAGAAGAACACAACTTCAATACGATCGTATCGTCGAGAGACATCGACCGCAGTACTGACCCGCGATTTGCACGAATTTGAATTAGGGATGCTTGCAAAAAAAAAGTAACGAAAATCTGTGTTACTGACCGAAATTTCTGGTCGTTGGCGGTGTCCTCTTTGTGTTGAGGGGTTTGTTCGGACACAATTGGCGGCTCGCGTTCCTCTTCTTCGTCCAGGGGTCCGGATCCGTCGTTATCTTCCACCGGGCACTCGCTCTCGGTGCTCTCTTTGCTGCCCTTTTTGTGAAACCTCAAGGAGAAGCTCTTCCTGAATTTCTGTAGAACGCTTTCTTGTTGGCTCTGCGTGCTCGAACGGGGAGGATTCTGGGTCCCGGAAGTGGTCACGATATTGGCACTCAAGTTAGAGGACTGCTCTTGTAGACGCGAATGGGAGACCAAGGGAATTGTCGCCTCCGCCAAAGGATGCTCGGTTGTTACGTGACCGGTTGTACCCTCATCCTCTTCGTCCCCCGACCACTGTCGACTGCGCATACAAACACGAACGAATATTACTATCGTTATTTTACACCCTACTAATCCTACAATCTCAACGAATCGCTGAAAAATCGTCGATCACGCGATCGAACCGAGGAAACTCTCTGCTGATTGGAAACTATCGATTCGATCCGTTCGTTTAATCGATGAGTCATTGTGATCGCGAGTGGAAAATAATTTACGGGGCCGCGAGAAAATTTAACACCGTTTCTTCCCGCTGCGAGCCCGCTGGAGACGCGCCGTAAAATTGATAGATCACGATGGTGGTACGCGGAGAGCGCGTCCGCTGGTTCGCCGCGTGGCAATTTATGTAGCTGGACACCGTGGTGCAGCAGCTGACGAAGTGACTGTCCGAAGCTGCATAACGGAAGAAACACCGTCACGGAACAGCCACTGCGCCACACAGCCTTTCAGAACGGAAATCGCGGTCTAAAGCGAATATTTCGAAAGCGTTCATTAGAATTTCTCGAACTCTGATTGCATCGCGTTCCTGCTACGATCGTTACTCGTTTCATTTAACGATTGTGTATGCCTTAAATAAGTTATAAGTTAGAATAATAAATCGAAGAACAAAGATACGAACTTTTGATACTCCGAACAAGTGAGTCCAGTTGAGGAGGAAGACAAGGACTATAAAAGACATAGTAATAATTAAACAGGGAAGCCACCATCGAGAAAGGACGTGTGGATTAACGAACCATGACGAGGGGGACATAAAAGATGCAGACACGATAGTCGAAAGAAGATCAAACCTGACACTAAGAATCATCGATCATCTTAATAACCGTTGAATTTTTCTTGAAACTATCTGGTAATACTAAAACAGAATTCTGCCTAGAATTCTACTAATATTATTATTAACCGATCGTTGCGATCAAAAGCATTAAATTGTTGCACAGAACACGTTTCCATATCATTCGTACCACCGTTCCCGTGCATTTCCGTCCGATATTTGTAATTCTTTCCACAGATTATATCGTACTCGAAATGCCGCGAATTCTCCGATTTAATTAATGCACGATTCCCCGCATACTCGCGTTAATTGCGCCCAGTGTACGCGCGCGGCGTATATTTTTTGCCCCGGCGAGGGCGAGACCGGTAAATCAAGAGCGGGGGAACAGATGTTACGATTTCTCATTTTTTCCGACAACGTTTTTCGCGCAACCGGTGTTTCTGTGCCAGATTAACAAGGAAAGATTGCGCGGAGTCACCGTACCACATCATGAAGGCGATTTCGATGGGTTTCTTTTCCTCTACGGAAGAACGCTTATCCAGCGTGTTTCATTAGTTCTTGCTCGAACATTTTCAGCTTCCTTTTCTCCTTTCTCCGCTTCACGCGTCTTCGGCAACTCCTTCGGTGAACGTTTGACGTTTCACTCGCCAGACGCTAATTGCACACGATTTCAAAAGTATCGGCGATGATGTTCTCGGACAAACACGAAAAGAAAACTTTTTACTCGACCGGAGTTTTCGACAATGCTCGCGAAGACCACTTGCAACCACTTTTAGACAGGAAATGCGTCGAGTGTCGGTCCGTGTGCGACTGAAACCTTCGGACGGTGCTCGAAACCCCGCCTGTGTGCGCTCGTCCGTGATGCTCAGCAGGCCTGTACGCTCCGTGTCATAACGATATTCATGGAAACCTTCGCCCGCTGGAATTTATTCCACGATAAAGGTCTACCAGACGCGCACCGCGTCCGTGGAAGGGACTGGCACTTGTTGATCGAAACGATCAAGCTTGCTGGCGCGCGCTCCTGATCGTCCAGTCTAATGCAAACGAGCGATACATCGCGAGATCAATGCTCGATCTTTAATTACGCGCGGAAATTAAAGCGCGTGTTCACCGAGGGTGGGTCGGGTCCACCCACACGTCGTCGCGAAGCCAGACGTGTCGCATTCCGCGCGCGCGAAAAGCTAAATGGGCACTCTCGAAAATAAGAAAATCGCTCGGAACCACTCTTCCACAGGAAGTGCATTGAACGACGAGCTGCGGCCGACTGAAGGCACCGAGGCCACACAAACCCACGCTCTCACGTGCGTCTCACACGTGTGTGCGTGCCGGGGGTTTGTGTGCCAGTGCACCTCGTGAACTCTTCCGAGAACAGATTTCAAGGGTCGCTTCAGGTATAAACCGACACCGAGGGTTGCAGTCCTCCCTTCCCCTACGCCCCCCTGCCGGTCGAGCTCTTTATCTTTCGTCTTCTCCTTTCACCGTGTTTCACCCTCGTTTCCTCTTCCCTTCTCTCGACGATCGTGGGCGGCAAAGGAGCGGCCAAGGAGAGCCCGTCGGTCTCCACAAAAGGTACCATTTATCCATTGTAGTGACAGTGGACCGCTGCTGCTGGCCTCCTCTCTCTCTCCCGTTCCCCATTTAATCGGCACGAATTTTTACTCCCCCCCTTTCCCGGGACCCGCCACCTTCCACGTACCGATTCGACAAGGTGCAACTACCTTGCGTTCCGTCGTTCTTGCTAATCTCCGTCGGCGTTCCCGTTTCCCTTCTGTTCGCCTTTCTTTCGCTACCTCGCGCGCGCCCCCTCGCTCGTTCCGTCGATGCTGTAATCTTTCTCCGAGCACCGATCGTTATCCAGGTTCCATCACTTTCTGTGTCAGATCGGTCTCCGAGTCCGGTTCTTACCGATTTCCACCAGCAACGATCGACTTTTTTCCTTCGTTCGTTATTTAGGTGGAAGTTCAACATCCCCCGAAAGAGAGAAGCAGGGTTTTTAAATTTCCACGAAACTTGGATAAGGGTTACTGGACTTGCATGAAAATTGTTGTATCAGAGATTCCAGTTAAATAAATGTTAGTTAAGAAAGTCATTGTGTAATTTTTTTTACAATCCAAATAAAAAATCCCTTATAAAAAGACCCCAGGGTGTCAACAGTGAAGGTGCACAGGTTCGAGGTACGGCGATCGACCACTTGGATAAGGGTTACTGTACTTGCATGAAAATTGTTGTATCAGAGATTTTAGTTAAATAAATGTTAGTTAAGAAAGTCATTGTGTAATTCTTTTTAGAATCCAAATAAAAAATCCCTTATAAAAAGACCCCATGGTGTCAAGAGTGAAGATGCACAGGTTCGAGGTATGGCGATCGACCACTTTGGAGCACATCCATCACCACGGATTCATCTTAATCTCTCGCCTTATGCAACTGTCTCTCATATAGTCAACGACAGGATAGTTCCTCATCTTTGCACCTTGATGAAGATGTATCCTCAGTTATTATCTCAAATCTAGTCTTGATCGATGCGCCTACCAAATTACTTTTAAACACGAGTAATACCTGGAATTACACCTCGATGAAAATCTCTTAAACATCTTTATGGTCTTCAAAAAATTCGAAAACACTTTCATCCGAGTAGTTTATTCCGACAATATGATTTTACACAGTCTTTGATATTAAATTTATAAACTGCTTTTACGTGTTTCATTGTTGTTGCAAGTCATCCGAAAGCTCGGTTGTGAAATGTTTCAGTACGCGACTCGTAAATACTGTAAACGCGTCTAAGAGATATTTTTAAAGATCCCCGGAACCGGGATTATTTGCGGCCAAGGCCAACGCGTTAACAAGAGCCTGACATAAATCGGGAGAATTTGCTGTGGACAACCACCGAACCGGAAACTCGAGACGAGCGGTCACGTTCGCAACATTATTATTTTTCATGGGGCACGGGGTGTCTTTTGGCAAACTTTCGCGCAGTCTTCCCTTCCGATTTACAACTTCTATGCGCCAGGGTATGCGGCACGAGTGAACAATAACTCTACTTTTTATCGATCTGTGTACATATCTAGGCTCCCCCCACGGAACGCGTGGGCGTTGCAACTTAAACTTCTAAGGGCATTACGTGGGCGTTGGAACGTGCTTAGCATTGTTTTGACGAGAAACTATTCCTTAATTTGCTCGATCGATGAGGCTTCATCCAGTCTATCTTTGACAGCCACCTACTCGCGGTTAGTCTTTGATAATTGTTACGCTATTACGCGGTGAAATTGTTTATTGCAGGTAATGGCGAGCCACTTGACCGCGCGGGCTTAAAATATTTTCTCAAGATAGATCAGCGCTTCCCAAACATTTTCAGTCGCCGGTACACTTTACGCGCGATAGATCCACGGAACGCTTATTATAGCTGTTCGATTTTGAAATTGAATACTATTTTCGAAAGTTGAATAGAAATAAAAATTATTATAATAAAGAATTTAAGTAAAATTATATATAATAAAGACGACTGTCAGTTTTTCGTTGGCGAATTGGAAAATGTATAAAACTAATCCCGTGGAAAGATCGTGGGCGGATCCGAAGCGAAAAGTGTAAACAGCTTTCGGTGAGTTCGCGAAGAAATTTTTAACAGGGGATTCGCAAATTCGAGGAGAAGCGTCAATAAAACGAAACTTCATAATTCTTCTACAGGGGCCGTGGAGAAGTAGGAAGTTCTGAACATCCGTCGGGGTAAAGTTTCGCTCTTGAATAGGTCGCAAGATGAGTTCCCGACCACCACGTAGCCGTGGGATATTAAAAGGTGGAGCTCCTCTTTAAAGAGCCTTTTAGGAGTCGGCCATTTTTTCTGCGTCGAATTACAAAACAATCCCGAATGCCGGCTTAAAGCGTTCCTTGATGAACGCAACTTCCGCGGAGAAAAGTTCCGGAGGGGGGTGCACGGGGAACGATTTTTAGGTAATCGCGTCGAACAGAGGGAAATTCCTTCGAGGAACGAGGATTAGAGTTCGAAGGGAAAATTTAAATTCGCGAAAAGTAATCGTTTAAAAGCCTCTGGGGGGGCCCCGAAGACATTGATTTACATTCCCATCGAAAATCTCGAGATTACGGGAAACTTTTAATTGGATCCAAACAATGTGTGTTTTTTTTTCCTCTTTTTTCGGATTCGCTTCGTTGCTTGCGGAGCAGGATTTTGAACGTCAAAACGAACGGGGGGGAGGGAACTTTTGCGGCGTTAAACGGAGCAAACGCGTAATCGACGGAGCCAAGAAAGGGGAACTTAGTATTTCCCCGTAACTTCGAATTAGAATAATGTCGAGTTACGTCTCGTTCTAGGAACAACCGAGTCCCGAAAAGCTTCCGAGCGGAGAAAATTAACGTTCCGCCGAGTTGTTGCTCGCTAGACGGAACTACGAGCTTTCGAATTGTGGTACAAGATGGACGACGTTAGCGAGTTCGTTTAAATATTTTTATCACGCGCACAAAAATGGTACAAAACTAGTTTCGAATAGCAATGGGTTAAAGAGACAATTTTTTATTTGGACAGCGGGTGCATTTCAACGTCGAACGTATAGTAAAATTCAGAGAGTATATCCCTTAAACTTTTCGTTAAAAAAATTCCAATAGTTTCCTGAACAATCTCCTAATGGAAGTTCCCTGTCCGCCAAAAATATTTTAATGGATGATATATAAAAAAAACTATTCGTCCCATGAGTTTGTAACAAATTTGACATCGAGATGACCAGCAGTAGTATTTCTAAATAGAATCGTGTTATTTTCTATCGATTATGTAATTCAGAAATGAAACAATTAAAAGGTGCACGTACCGTGATTAAAGCCAGCGTGATTAAATGTTGCAAGTGAACCGAATAGGAGCTACCTTTTCGCGAGATATGAACAAGCAAAGGTCCCGGCGTGAAACGAACCGGAAGCGAGGGGTCTTCCGTGAAACTAAAGAGAATGTCACGAGAGATTTTCTATTCACCTCGTAATTAGAGCAACGACCGGATGAATGTTCGTCCAGGTACAAAGTCGATGGGACCGAGACGGGTCATTCGAAATAACGTCTTTATTCTTGCCTCTCGGCAAACAACCCCGGCTACGAGACACGCCGAAGGGATCAAGAGGTCACGATGGAAAGCTGGAAAGCAGGAGGAAGCACTTCAAACGAACCTGGACGCGATCAACTCGGAACCTTTGATCTATTCCCTCCTCTTCGATGAACTGCTTTTTTTTTTCGAAACTATTTTTAGCCCCCGTCGCCTATCGTCTCTTCGACGTTGTCGATAATCTCGCCCGCTGGAAACTACCGGTTTTTTGCGAGCGTCATTTTTTCCAGGGAAGAAACGACAGCGCTCTAAAAAAACTCTCGATGACACGTTCGAAAGTAATCGTCGAAACTTTTTGTCGCTCGCGATCTTCAACTTTCTTTAAAAGTTCTCGTTATCCTCGCCCGCTTTGGTTAAATTTCAGACAAAAATTAAACTATTCTGTTTCTAAAAGTTTTACAATTTTTGTTAAGCATTATCGAAAGCGTAGGAATAGTTTCGACGACAAACGAGATTTCAAATGTTTGTTCGGACCTCAAACAAGCGATAATTTGGAAATGATTATGGTGATTCGATGACCCGCTTCGAGTATTTCATTTTAATATTAAAATAGTGATTTATGCAGTTATTATTCTGTTGCGTTCGTGGTGGCTCGTCTCGTTTCCTTTCCATCGATTTACAGTACGTTCGAGTCGATATTATTATTATAGAAGCACATCGTGGAGCAAGCGCGGTTATTAAAATTGAAAAACAAGTTTGTGCTGCAAACAAATACATTCGTCGTTTACCGTATTTGTACTGCGCGAGAAAAGTCAACCGCGCCTTTTTAATATTTGCCCGAACAATATTATTTTTCGTCCGGAGTAAATACGGCTTCCTGAAACTGGAAAATCTTTACGCAAAGCCCACGGGACACGAAACGGACAGGTTTCATAACTTATCGCGTGAACACGAGGTGTTTGTACGAGACAAGATGATGAAAAATGGACGGAGAGGAACCAAACCAACCCCCCCAAGAAATTACCATTTCCAAATCACCATTTTATATATTTATTTATATAATAGTTATTATATTAGAATTAAAATTTATTTATTCGTTGGAAAATATTGTGTATTATTTTTCAGTAACGAAAAAGTGCAACAAACTTTATTTTAAAGTAAACGAAATTTGTATTGGCCGAGAAGGTACGGTTCTGTGACACATAAGAACGATTTGGAAGGCAAAAACGAGAAGGCCAACGGGGTTTTTCACGTTGTAATGCACCTAGAATCACTCTACCGTGATGATTTCCGGGCTATCAATGAATTATAACGTTCATTCAAAAATAACTCACCTTTCTACTTCACGATCCAAGAGCGCCGGCGTGCTCGACGCTTTGATACGCCTCTGCGCCTTGCTCAGCCCAGGAATTCGTCTTCTCTCCTTCCCAGCGTACACGCCGGATCGTTGATCGTGCAACGGCTGCAACGGAAACATAATCGGAATTATTTTACACGCCGCGATCAAAATATTAGACGCCGGTAACCCCGTTGATAACCTCACGCGTGAAAGCTACGCGGGCCCCGTCGATCTTTTCCCATGATTCGACACGCACGAACGCTCCCGATCGCTCACGTATCTACACACGCTTATCGAAATCAGCCTATAACGGCGGAATAACTTGATCGAGTATCTCGTTAGCAAATTATTTCGCAAGTGGAACACTCTCGGTATTATACCGGGCCGATCGTTCGAATTTTTCGTCGGTTCCGTTCGTTCGATCAACAGTTTCTGGTTCTGTTTTCTAATCGATAGTCGGGGAATTGTTTGTCGGAAGCTGCACCGCCGCCTAACCCAATTAAGAAAGAACCGAGACGGCGATGCCAGCGTCTGTTGTTTCAAAGTAGACGAGAATGGAAAGCGGAAGAGGACGGAAATAAGAGTAACAAGAATTTCGGGCAAAGAACGCGAACTGGAGCTCGCTTTGAAATTCATCACACCCGAAAGAACGCTTCTAATTAATCAGTATTTATTTTTAGACGTACCTGTCTCGTGTATATTAAAATTTCCACGTCAAGAAATTATAATTTTTACACAGTGTTTTGAAAAAAAAACTAGCGTGTAAAATCCACGTGTAAAATTCACGCGTTTGCCTAACGTATCTTTCGAAATTCTCGTACGAGGAAACGGTCTGACGTTGCAGACACGGTCTTCCGTTCTTTCGGCAACAGAGAGTGTATTTCACATTTTGGCCGGTGATTCGGGAATTCTGAATCACGTATCGCGGCGTACCACGGGCAGAAGCAAACACTGTCAATGAATATTTTCCGGCTGGCCGAATTTGTTTTGTATCCCGAAATTCCGCGGCATGGACGTTTATAAATTTGAATTTGAATGGACGTCGGTGCACGCCCGACCGAGACAAAAGCCAATATGTATTTTCATTATGATTCCGTTTCACCCCGTTTCGCGGTCTGCTTTTCGTTCTCGGGTCTTTGATCGAATTTTTCAATCTGTCACAATACGACCCACGCACTCGGAAAGGTTGCACCGTCCATCGAACAACGACGTTCGAACTCCCGATGTTTTTACAACTGTTCCTACCGGATCGATCACACTGACTGCGAAAAAATTTGCTAAATAAGGGGGAAAAAGTCAATTCTAGTTTCTCTTCTTCTCAACTCTTGAGTTATTATATAAAAAATTCTCTTTGCAGGCGTGTTTCCGAGGAAGTAATTCACGCGATGCAGTTTGTGTTTTCGCGCGAATCTAACGTATCATTTAATTTCCTGTACCGATAACGAAAGCACCGCCGAAACTCGATATCGAATATCTCGGTGGTTCCGGGGGTAAGCCCGATTCTAAAATCCGCGAAAAGCGCATTGGCGAACGATTAAGCCCGCGAAAAGAGGAACGGCCGAGAAGGTAATAAACGGAAGTAGAATCTAGCGAGGCGGTCGTTTGTAATTAAGAGAACGAGACAATGGGCATCGAGACATTTCGGCGAGCTGGATTCCTTCGTTGAGCGACCAGTGACACGGACAATGCTTGTCCTCGAGGAGTCAAGTGACTTCTCGACCTCCCTTTAGAAACGCCGCCGTGGACAGAAACGTGGTCCGAGCTCGTTTACGGAACCGGAAGTTGGTTACACCGTCGATCGATATTCTGTTGCACCAACGTGCCCCACCAGGCAACACTGGACGATTCCCCCGCTGGTGGAACAATTGCACGGACGTGCAAATTGTATTTGCGAATTCTATCCTCAAACGTTGCGGGTCCAACGCAGAGCGGAGGAGCGAGAGAAACGATGATATTCGCAAGGGATGTGGATCAACCTGCCATCCACCGCGACTTTAACCTTTAAAGTCACTCTGACGCGTATATCGCGCTTCCTACTTTGTTTTATTACGGTTCGTTCGTTTCATATTCACGCATTTAGCATGGAATAATCCAGGAATGTAACCGGTTTCTACGAAACGGAGTCGGTTATACGAAATTACGTAACTATAAACGATTTCTTGATCCTTGATCTTGGACAGAATTTGTGTTAACTTTGACCATAACTGGTGCTCTACCCTAATTAAGTAACGTAGCTTGCAATATGTACTATGAATATCAATCTCTGTCATCGGAGTGGCCGTGACGCAAATGATGTAAGCAATTAATGCGCTCGAGGTCGCGGGATCGAATCGAGTTCACCGAATTTTTCTAGTCTGATTAGCTCAATTTGCAACCATACCAAGGATACGTACGATTTTTAGTAGATATATTGCGTTTGGCAGTAAAATGTACCATTTTTTGAAGTTCGTTTTGCCTCTTTCTGCCCGATAACATCGTTTATTGCTTCCAATAATTCGATAATTATCATAAAACGCGATGGGCGCGAAGCATAAACTGTCTCTACACTCGAGCGCTGAGCATGCATTCGAAGGGATCATAAATGACGGGTGAAAAGCTTCGATCTATAATAGAACCGAGTTCCCCGAGCGTGGCAGAATTTTTGAGCCGCGTCAAACCTTAATTAACAGTCTGAGAGCATTTGCATGTACCTGGCGGAGGCTTTAACCTACATACACTTGGAACCTAACCTGCCCAGGGCGCCGATAATTGGAGACTACCGAGGTCGACGCCGAATTATTCATCCGTACAATTTTGGCGCATTGAAATCATTCGTAGGATCGTCTGCCCGTGCTCGATTATGCATTTAGTTAATTTACTCCGCTGGAAGAAATTACGATTTAACGAAAAACGGACGCAACCGATCGATACGAGTTTATTTATAGGGGTGTGCTTGATCCGGCAAACTGTGCAACGCTCGAAACAGCTCTGATTCATGGATCCCGGTAAAACATAAATCTTTTGTGGGAATTTAATGGCGCGTAATACTTTTGACGGGAGAAAATGAACGAGTGAAAAGTATCCAACCCGGTGAAGATGAAAGAATCTTGTATTTGCGATTAGCGAGATCGAAAATCGTCCTGGATAAAATGGAAAATCGTGTATTTAACCTTTTGGAACCCTTAATGAAACGTCATGTAACAATCGACGTACGGTTAATAAATAACTGTCCTCGACGACCAGTCGTGATCCTAGCCATCGATCATTTTTAGCCTCGGCAATTAAACATCGATCAAGAGGGTCGCTAAATATTTGAGGGGGCACGTCGGAAAATTATTTTCAAGGATGAACGTCAGACGTTCGATCCGCTAGACACGCGATTTGTAATTTCCTCCTCGGAACCGGTAGACGATAGAACGGTCGAATGAATAATGATCGGACGCCAGTAACCAGTAACGTCTTAGCCACGAGCTTCAATGCGCATAGTTACACGTGCACCGATGGCCTTTGCATACGACTGCATACGATAATTACACACGAATGTTCCAATAAATTCAACAGACTGTATCAACATCTTCCCATTTCTTCTCGGATCCAATTATTTTCTTAAATTGAGACAACGATAAGGAATTATACCTGTAACAGGTGTATGAGAAAGAAAAATTAATGATCAGATAAAATTCGCCCCTAAAATCTGATTACCACCGCTAAAGAAATATCTCTTTTGTCTGTGGAAATTTCACAAATAATATCGATTCGTCCATAAAAGTAATTATTTCGTATCGTTAAAAATAATTGGAATTCGCGTGGGTCGCATCTATGGAGAAACATGGTTAAAGAAACGCAGTTTCTCTACCAATTTTTCCCCCCCCCCGTCCTCGTTTAGAACAGGTAAGTGGTTCGCCCTAGTTCTCGGAACCACCCCATGTAATACATTGAAGCTTTTAATATATCGGACAAGTTACCGCGCGATAAAGTCGTTTGAGGCGATATTTTAATTATTTTGAGTACCGTGAAACGTACTTGCACGTACATACGTTCCGCATCAACGAAATACGTATGAAACTGCATCGTTGGAACGGTTCCCTCGATAAGATCGAGACCGATGTTTCTCGCGGCGAACCGGTAGACGGTTACGCCGGAATTTCATTAACGCCTTCAATTACACTTAACTTATAAGTGGAGCGTGTTAATGTATCGATTACATTATTGCGTTTGACTAGAGGTGTGCATCGTATCGTGGTCGGCGACGACCTACATGCATCATTCACAGCGACGACAGTACATACTGGTTCGTTAACATCGCCGGTAACAATGCCGTGTCGAATTGACTGTATCTCTCACGTTTATGCACAGGTTACCGTTGCCGGGGACAAGCATTTATCTGACAATTAGTGGTAACCGTAGCCTGGGGTATTATAAACAATGCCGCGAATTCCATGAATATATTAACGAGGGTAATTTGACGCCTTTACATTTTGCGCTCTAGTATTGATCAATTCTGCGATTCCCTGCTTCGTTAATGTTTGCGTTCTTTGTTTGAAACGCGCCGCAAAATACACGCGTCGCGATCAGAAACGAGATGGACAACGACAGACGGATAATTAAAACCGCGCCCGTAACGAGGCTGACGCCAATCTTTTAAATACAATCGGAACAAATATTTGAAAATGTTCAGACAAAATTTCTAATAAAATTTCTTTGACGAAACATTAATTTAACGATCTGTCGACGTTTGATGCATGAATTTTGTATGCTACAAATCCACCCACGTCCAATAGTGTCGTGTTCGAAAGACCTTTAAATAAATTCGATACTTTTGATACGATGTGGTCATTGTCTAGACAGTATAGTAATAAGCAACGGAAAGCCACTGCGCGATCCGTTAAAAATTGTGGTGTGGAAAGAGCAACCTGTCGCGTCGTAGGATATGTATGACGGAATTGTCAATACACGTGTAACAGTAAACTCTGATGCTTTTGACAGAGTTCAACCAAGTCCGGAGATCAAAGAATCGGAGAAAGGTATGAAAGTGCATCGAGGAAACGAACAAAACAATCAAAAAGCTACTCTGCTAACAAGCTTTATCATATAGTTTACACAAAAAGCATCGACCGTCTTATAAACGTGCAAATATTCTCTAA